ACACGGGGGAGGAATAGGAAAAGAAAGAAAGAAAGGAAATGAAGGATTCCAGAGGTTCGTAGCTTTTGCTTTACTTATGCATTATTCAGCCGCCTCCCCGTGAATATGCATGGGAAATATGACAAATTAGACTGTTATTAAATCCTCGATATTTAGAGGGAATCGATGTTCATACATTAACCGCCATTACGCATAATAAATTCCGAATGCATCCATAATAGCTATCGATTAGAATACAATTAGAATAGATATATGCTATGATAAAATTTAGACAATTACATTATCAGCGTGACTGTACATATGGCTGCTTCCCCTTCTTCCTGCGATGATTTATATCCTCGACCATCCTCCCTTACTGTTGCCTCCCCATCCGTACAAAATTTACCTATACATAGGATGCGTCTGTTGTTATTGTTGTTCTCACCCAACGTACACAGTTGTTGTTCTATTTCTTTTATTTATTATATATATATATATTTTTTTTTTGACTTGTTGTTGTTTGTACCTTCTACATTTTCCATGTTCGCCAAATGCATTCCGAGCTCCGAACCTTGTTACATTTAAACAAGTAAATAATTCGTCAGAGTCGCTTTGTGCTTAAAGCGAGGATAATTTTGTATCCTTTGTTGCGGTCTATCCGTCAAAAGGACAATAGGGGTTTCGCATCCTTATATAACACGGCCGCCGATTATCGATTCAACCCTGTAATGAGCCAATCTCCGAGTCTCCTTTCACTGTAACAGTTTTTGCTCTCGTTTCGGACACCTGCCCTTCTGGGGATCATCGCATAGATTACTCTACGCTATGAATGACCATTTGGCACGTTGCCTCTATAATTAATATAAAAATTATACACCGACAGGAAAAACAACAGCATTTCCTGATCCACGTTCACGATAAAGACAGACGTTAAGAAATAAAAAAATAAACGAGAGAAGCTGAAGGGCCAAAAGCCCTAAACGTTTCGTTCTAATTCTTTATGCAGTTTGATGGGTCCCATTATACCAAAAAAAACACCACTAATTTACCTTTTTTTTCCGTTTTACATCTTTAATATAAGCTGAAACAAAATATGTTTAACTTGTGGCCAACCAGTGAAACCCTTTCAGCCTTCACCAATCACCCTTTGCCTTTTCCTTTTTTTTTTAAATTTCGAACCCTCCCAGATGCAAGGCGGAAAACCGCCTTCGATTATTTTTTTTTTCTTGAACAGGTGATTCCAAATTGTTTTTCGCATCTCTGAAGATGAAGAGCTGCTCTCGCGATTTAACACGAGCTGAAAGCTTTTCAGGAACTTTTCCTAGATTTAATATGAAATACGAGATAATCAAGCAGTCCGTGCTGATACGTGATGGCATTCTGAGCCTGATGCAGGTTGATGGAATAACTTACGTTTTCCCGATACAACGTGACCTGAAATGCTTTTAACATTAGTTTACGTTTCACAACATATGTATGAAATTATTGTAATTTAATACTAAGGAAATAACAATATAAATTTCCTTATTATTTTAAATAAATTTAAAAATAAATATTTGTATTAATTGTTCTTTTTTTTTTGCCAAAAATACGGCGGTTAATATCAAATAAATGTTTTTATTTTAATTAGTTTAAGTTTCTTAACAAATATATGAATAAATTTATTACTACAGAACAAACAATATATATATATATTACTAAATTTAGCTCTATTGTAAACCCATAGTTAACTTTTTTTGAAAGAGAAATAAATTTTAAACTTTTAAAAATTAATAGTTAATATAAAAAATTGCTTTGACGAAAAATTTGAATTAAAATTACTTAGATACCCAAGAGCTAGTGGGCGCAGTTTCAAATCCTGGTCAAGCCAGGCCCTTTGTGAGCCCTCTCAGTGCTTGTAGCAATAGGGCCATAGTTCATTACAGATGGACAGTGAAATGAAAGAGGTTCTTCATATGAACCTTCAACCAAGTCGATGGACAATGACAGTGTTAAGGATAGCAGCAGATTCACAGTCAAAGGAAATTGTGGAATCGCAGAGCATCAAAATACTACTGAAGTTAACCTACAAGACGACAGCCAACCAACAAATTAAAAATTTCACCTTGTAAATAAAATTACTCGACATAAAAAAAATTATAATCATACTTTTATTAATATCAAATTGTATTTAATTTTTATTTTAATTGAAAATTTTGAGTAATTTCATTATTTATTTATTAATTTGAGTCAAAGGGTTAAAGAGCTACGGTTTTTCTTCTGTATTAAATTAAATTATCTAAAGTGTATTTTAAATACTTTATAAACGTTTACAATAAAATACATTTGAATAAGTATTGTCTGCATGTAAATGGTTATTCAATCAATAGATTCAATTAGTCTGAGTATACATTTCACATGCAAGTCCATCAATATCACAATAACAAAATGGATTTCAGGTGGGTAATGGAGATGGACAACTCACGTTACCGGCGTAATAGCAATGAAAACATGACAGCAACAACAGCAATACAAAAAATATGTACATATATATACACATACACGTATATATGTACAGCGTTTACGTAACGTGTGCAGTTCGAATAATAAATCATTTGATACGATTTTGAAATTAAGTGCATAATCGGACATTATTACCAAACTGCACTTACAACTCACTTCGGTCCTTCTTCATTTTTCAATCGGATTACATCACGGATAATGCGATTATACCCTTACCGGGGTTGTGCCGACAAAACGTTGTTACATAAATCACCCGAAACGATATCAATTCGATAAGAAAAAAAATATATTTATCATATACATAAGTATAAACCGAAACGTTTTGTTTCGACTTACAAACTCCCGGACTTACGAACAAAATTTTAAAAGCTCTAAATTGTTACGAGGAGATATATAGTGATAAAAAATTAACTATCCAAACAAATATTGATAATTTCTTTAATAAAATATAATCTTTTTTGAAGATTTACTATCTGTTTTGTTGCATTTGTTTCTTTTGTCGTTTTTAATTAAATAATTGTGATATCTACATTGAAAAGTATTTGTAAGTAAGTATTTTGTTTATTTTAATCTATTTTTTTCAAATTTATGCAGTAAAAACCATGATAAAGTATGGTAACATAAGAATATTCGAACAACCCTTTGGAACGGAACTAGTTTGTATTTAGATTTATAAAATTTCATTAAATAATTAATTTACTAAACTTTTTACAGTTTTTGATTTATATTATAACATTATTATATTTTAATTTTTAATATACAGTGGAACCTCGTTTAACGAGTTTAATCCATTCCAAAATTTCGTATAGTGAAACATAATCAAAAATACACATATGTGTACACAAGTTTTAAAAATGATGTAACAGACGCGCAATCCTGGACTTCTCTTCTCATCGTCACTCGTTATGCAAAACGTCGCTCGTTAAGCAATTAATTTTTCTTACAATTAATTTTTCTTGTTAAGCGCGGTTCCACTGTATATTAATATTATAATTACAAATTTTATATTTGTTGCCTTTCCAAACTAATTAATTTATAAACAAAAAGATTAAACCTAATTAATTAAATAAGATAATTTATAAAATGATTATCTAATAATTGTCATTATTATAACTGATTATGTAATATCTACCAATTACTCAGTATAACGGTTCATTCCCGTATGTGTTTTTTCTGCGAAATCAATTACGTATTTTTTTGACTATAAAAAAATAAATAACTTATTATATGCTACATTGTATTGTAGCGTATGCAATGTTCCAATAAGAAAATATTACACTACAGTTTCAATATTAACTAGTTTTATTTTTTTTATAATTTATTTTATTGTATTGTATTAATGTCAAATTAATATTACGTAAATTTGTTTTTATGACTATTTCTTCTTCTTTTTTTAGAAATTTTATATATATTTATAGAATGTTTTTATTTTACTTGTAACAGAAATTGTTTTAAATTTAATAAATAAAATAATCTAATATAATGAAGAAATTGCTGCAAATTAAAGTGGAATTGATTCATTAAATTATATCCTAGTTGAAAATTAATTAAACTCGAGGAGCAACAAAAATCGCGGAGAGTTTGATCAATTAATAATGGTAATAATATATTTTAGAGCATCAGTCTTAAGTGGTTTGAGACTTCCTGCTTCTTCGATCAATAATTTACTTGCAGTTTCATATGAAAGTAATAATTTCATTTAAAAATGAACAATATTCTTAAATATACAAAATTTATAATTTTGTCGACTGATAATTTATACTTTTATTTAAATTAAGTATTTTTTATTGATAAATGTAGTAATTAATCAGCTTGAATATGAATCTATTAGTCGTGTATTTATTGTTGTTGTCTTGTATGTATAACGATTAGATAAATATTGTTGCTATGAATATTCATTGGCATTGCGTAAGATCAATTTACGAGGTATTTCAATGAATTATTTCAAATCGCTGAGAATTTATTTCTACTGAGTAATTATCACTGTTTGATGAAGAGAATATTATATGAATTCTCATTGTGTTTCGTTTTTATTTTTTTTGTTATCGTCGTGAATAAGTGTTAATAAATTTTCAAGAAATAAAATAAATAAGAATAAAATGCTTTGATAAAACAAAGAGTGGAGTGGTTTTTGCGGAATAAAATTTTCATTGCGGTTTTCAATGTATATTCGCATGTATTTATTTTCCTGATATCTATACACAATCATTGGATATTTACACAGCTACGGTAATTGAGGTAAAAACAAAAACAAAATAAAAAGTACAATTACCCAATAAAAGAAAATAATAAAAATAAACAAATTACAAGAGAAAATAAAAAAAAAACATAATAATAATATTAAAAAAAACATAATATTACTCGTATATACAGAATATTAAATATTATATACAGGTACACATAGACATATACATTTATGAACAATTACAATATACATTCTTTTTAAGACGATTACATCGATTTGCTCGAGCATTTTCCCATCCGTATTCCATTCACTCGGAAACCATTTCATCCGTGTTTATATATATATTATATATTTTTTTTCTTCTTCTTCTTCATTCACCTCGTCTCTCCTTTCATTTGCCTCCCTTACGTGTCTGAAAGCGCGAGGATGGTGTGGAGCGAAATTTAAATATGGGAGCCTTTCGTGCACGAGATTATTTATTTTAGCCATGTATTGCATGTTAAATGTTCAGATCTTTTATCTGACACAATCGGTTTCGAAAAACGCCGCACATTACTCAACAATATCGTGCTTGGGAGCATTTTGGAGGAGGAAAGAAAAACAAAAGAAAAGAGGAAAAACATAATAATGGTACATACGTGAAATAATAAAGTAAAACAACGGCGAGGGGGGGAAAATTGCGTATAGAATTTAGCTCTGCCCATACGGGAATTATGAATCTAAAGATTGCGTGTAAAAATATACAAAATAAATAATAATTTTTCTGTTTGCTGTTGAACTTTTCTTTTCGTTCATATAAATAATTTTTGTTTTGTTCTGTTTTGCTTCGTATCTTCTAATCAACTTAAAACTATTAATATATTATATCACATTTCTTGCGATTTGATTGTTTGTTTTTTTTTTTGTTACTTCTGTTTGTGAGGGAGTTTGGGAATTTGCACAAATAAATTACGAAGGATTATTATGGTTGTTTTTTTTCTGGGGGAGGTGGCACGTTATAATGTCGCAAGCACATTATGTACATGTATTTCTGTCAGACTTTGTTCAGACTGAGCGGAGGGCGAGCTGGGGTACCCGCAGGAGTTCCTCTGCTGGGGGGATGACGTAGTGGTGGTTGTAATAGGTCATGGGTGGGATCAACATTGGTTGACCTAAAGCCAGATCGCAGTAGGGTGCAAGACCCCATTGCATCAAAGCTGGAGCCGGCGCTTCCTGGGTATTCGGTTCCGCCGGTTTGTCTGGCGAGATGAGACTCTCTATTGTGAAGGACCTTTTAGGCCTGATGTTGGTGATGGGTTCGGTGGTGACGGGCGACGGGGATGGTGGTCGAGGCGTCGGTGCAAACGTCGCCGGCTCGATTTGGTTTTCCGTCGGCGAGAAGAAGAAACGGTTGATGTTGGCTAGAGCTGCGAGCTCGTTGTCCAGCACCTCTTTATCGTTCTTCAGTAGCTTGAACCTCTTCCGCCGACGGAGCAAACTGCCGTTCTCGAACATATCGAAAGCTGCTGGATGCAGAGCCCAGTAGGCTCCCTTACCAGGTCTGTCCGGCCTCCTGGGAATCTTGATGAAACAGTCGTTGAAGGATAGGTTGTGTCTTAAGGAATTCTGCCACCTCTGAGTGTTCCTCCTGTAGTACGGAAATCTATCGGTGATGAAGCGGTAGATCTCGGACAACGGCAGCATCTTCTCCGGCGAACTCCAGATGGCCATCGCCGTCAGCGAGATGTACGAGTAGGGTGGCTTCTGATCACCGTAGGATTCCCTCGACGGCCGCGGCATTGTTCACAACTACCCAAATCGGGAAAAACAAAGTTTTGCACACTCGATCACTGCTCGGTCAAATAATAGCCGCAGACCTTTCTCTCGACTAGCAAGAACGATACTCTGTGAGAAACTGGATCTTCTGGTAACACGAAGACCACATCTCCGTCCGACGGTACCTACCATTGGCCGTCACTTCACAATGGCACAACGAACGCGCCCCCCGTTACGCCCTTCTCTGGGATACGCCTTTTTTCACCCGTTCCGACACCCCACCAAGCAGCGCAGAACCACATCGTTTTACCATGCTTCGTTTGTACATTACACAGATACACACATTATACCTCATTTAAAAGCGACCTTCTCTCTTTTCGTTCTTTTGTTGTTGTTCAACTCGAATCATAATATAATCTACAAATAATTGTATATAAAAAAAGAAGAAGAACAAAGAATAACACTGAAACAAAACCGTCCCAAACGTATTTACAAAATACACCCTCCTATCCGATCAATATCCAATTTGGACACACAACAACAAAAAAAATCCAATAAACTTTACTAATATCAAAACACAAATACACAAAATCAATAATTAACATAACCAAATCATATAACAACAAAAGTAAGTAATTTATTTTTATTATTATTATTATCCCAATTTACATTTTTGTTATTATTAATTACAAAGATTATTTAAAGCAGAATCAATTTCGTTTTAAATTAAAAACTTATAACAATTAATGTTTCATTTAAAAATTCTCGCATCGTATAAAACAAGCCGCTCTAATTAAAATATTCGCTGCTACTAGATTTTCGTTTTGGGATAAAAATAACTCCCATATGCAGCTGAGAACCTAATGAAGACACCGTGTAATTAACCAATCACATTAATTCCATTTCAGTAGTAGGAATTTAAATTGGAATTATATAAATTAATAATGTACATAAAATACACACACTTTTTAACAACTCTTATATTATATTTTTATTAATTTCAATAACTTTTATGCACAATTTATACATATCTAATTTCGATTATTTTTAACCTCTATATTTTTTTTTTATTAGAATATTGAAATTGTCTTTTTAAATATTGTGATAAATAAATTCAAATAAGATTTGATTGCAATTGATTTATAAAGAAAAGTTATGTGTGTTTGTTTGTGAACGGGTTTCAATTAAAATTTTACGAGCTTGTTTCTTTATTTAATGAATGCAAATCGGGTAGAAATAAAATCGCCAATTGACTTTTATTGGAAAAGATCCGAACGACCGATGACTATAAGCCACTTTAATTTTTATTGTCGCATAAAATACATACAAAATATATGCTATTATATGAGATACATATGTTGTTTTTTTTTTCATTCCTTTAAATATAATATGTCTACTACGATCAACTACAAAAGTACATGTGTATTTAATCTACTTAAATACAAATAATATAATAATAATCTAAAACAAATTAAACATATAATATATTATATAAATTAGTTAAATATATGTAGTCCATTAGTCCTGTTGTTTCTGACTGTTGTCGTATTCCTATTAGAAGTAAGATTTGATTAAGTATTAGTTGGAATAAATAATTACAAGTACTTACGTTAAGAAATAGTTTAACTGCGGGTGGTAAGCATCTACTGCATTGTACTTTTGGGACTCCATCAAAGTCTGGAAGGCATTTGCAGATCTGGCAAGGACTTCGTCTGAAGGTCCTGGAAACCAGGTTAGCCCAGGAATCGGTGAGACCGTCATCAACCATAAGACTATCGATGTCGAAGACGGTGCCGTTTGTACTCAAAGCCAAGCCGCTATAGACATCACTGATGCCGTCGATGATCTGAGATAATGAAATGAGGATAAAGCGATGGCGATTTAATAAATTTTCGAATTACCTGATTGTTTACGGTCGATGCAGTTACGGAGCCAATTTTAGTCACCACACTGTTATTATCGTTAATCCCGACAACTCTATCACTGTAATTAGCGAATGGCCTAGGCTTCAAGAGGTGCAGCGTGACGTCTCTCTCGCCCAGCATGTTGTAGATCAGAGGTAGGTTTTCGAGCTCGGTATCGACATCGCACTGGGTCAGCACAAAATGCTTAGCAACTCCAGGTCTGAAGTCCAAATCCGCAGCATATCGGATGGCCTCTACGGCTTTGAATTTTTGGGAAATCTGCTGTTGTCGCACACTGAAAAAAAAAAACAAAAAAAAATTAAATCATCAGTATTAAAAATTGTTATTAAAGCGTTTCTAATTAATGTAACTTACAAATTATCGTTGATTTTATCTTTTGACCAAACCTTGCCTTGGTTCGTGTAAATCTGTACGCTTTTACCGAAACCGATGGATGCAAACCGGTTATCTTGATAGCCAAGTTCTTTTAATTTCCTATCAAAGCTCTTGAATAGGCCGATTTTATTTAATCCGTCGAAGCAGTTCAATTGGTTGATGAACACAACGTCCACTGTTGCTGGATTATGTCCATCTAATATCGTATCCGTCATATTAATACCTCCGTCGCATTTCACTGAAAGCGAAGTATTAAAATGAAACATTCACTATATAAAAAATAACAAAACTCACTGCATAAGTGGTCTAATTCCAAATGTATATTAGCCTTCCTGCACCTGTTTTTGTATGCAGCCATATTACCGCACGTCGAAGGTATTATATCAATATCTTTGGTCTTCAAACAAAGATCCATGTAAGGTTTAGGATCCACCACATCGAAGCATTCATGGAGCGGTGATCCCGGATCTGAGAAGTATAGCTTACACATTTTATCTCGTATCAGGTTCTCAAGAAACACTGGTTTCTTCTCAATCTTGGGTTTTAATTCACACTTTTGCTTAGGTAATTTCCAAGCGGCTGAAAATTCAGTCAGATTGCTTGTTACAGTTGAATTGGGTAATATTAAATGCTCGCTTTCGTTATCGATAGTTCCTAGGAGTCCACCGGTTTTTCCGAACAGCCATCCAGATAATTGTATTGAACAGAAATTGTAATGAGTATTGCAGACAATCTTAAAACCTTTGGTGCTCTCCGCAATTATGTTCTTGCGGTCCAGCGACACTTTGACGTGATTATGAGTTAATGGTAGTTCGGTCAATTGTTTGTTGAGGTATACCCTGTGGTTGGGCGCAATTTCGATGGAGGCATCGCCTATTAAAATCTCGAGCGACTTTCTGTACTCACCGCTGACATTCTTAAAATTGACTATTAAAGAAAATGAGTTCTTTTTGAAGTCGCTTGCTAATACGTAGCTGCAGTTGGTGTTTATGGTATATATATGGTTGTGGAACATTGAGAAGTGCGACTCGCCTATAATCATCGCGTAATTTTCAGTTGGCGGCGCGATTTGAGATTCCCGCAAACTGATTAGGAAACTTTCCAAATCATCAAGCAGGAAGTAGTTGTTGCGACGCAGTCTCACGAATTGGTCGATTTTCCTTTGGATTTTCTGGTAAAGCGGATGCTGCTCGAACGCCGGTGCCTTGTTGAACGCCTCCCATTCTACCGGCAAAGGTTGGCTTATCTCGATCAGACCTATCTCAGGTCGGATCACGTAATCCGTTTGTTCGAATGGATTATCGAAATCGCCGGACTTGTCGTCTAGCTCTATGAACGAGAGCACATCATTGATATCGTTGCTGATGCTGTGCACGAAATGCTTCAGACCTTCCGTCATGTTGTGATAGTTCCATATCCAGATTGTTTTCTGGTAAAATCTGTTCACGTAATCTCTGAATTCGGTAATAGGCGGTAGCTGATTTATACCGTCGTATTTGCCGAATATAGCTTCGCTCAGTGCATCCAAGTAAGGCCTGTAATCGTCAATTACTTTCTTAATGTCGGTTATTATTGTTTCCAGTATTTCCTCAATTACATCTCCGATCGGCTCCAAAACATCTGTCACGTGCAACTCCTCCAGCCAGTTTATGTAAGACGAGTAAACTTTTAGCATTTCTTTTATTTCCCGTAAATTATAAATGTACTGCTGGACGGTATCCATTATGACTGGAAATAAAGGCACATTAAGCATTTAAATTTATTCACAGCGCAACTCCCTACTTACGCATTACGGCCATTTGGAACATCGCCAATCGTTGTTCCACGTAAACGACGAAGTCGTCCAGAAGATTCAGGAACGGATCGAAGAACTCCTCCACCTCTTTTTTGAAATCAGCCACGTATTTGTCCAGTGCGTCCAAGACGTTGATCGCAATTGCCTCCATCTCCTTGAGCGACCTTCGGGCATCATTAATACCCCTCATCAGAATATCCTTCGCGTTGACCTTGATCCTGTTCACATTCTCGAAGTCCTTCAAGGCTTTACCCAATTGCTTCTCCACCCTATCCAAGACGTTCTTCACAACTCCAATAGCGCTCACCAGAGAGTTCTGTGCCGTTTCGTAAACCAGCTTCAGATACGCTTCGATTCGTCCCATTGTCTTCGTGTAGAACATCCTAGAACATGGTTTCCTTTAGATCGCGTATCGCTTTTTGAAATCACTTACCTAATAGCGGGGTGTGAAAACGCGGCGCATAAATAATTCCCACTCTGCGAACATGTGAATCTATTATCGATAAAATCTCTATTTAAACTGCTCCACTCCTCATTTGCATACTCGATTATTTTCCGCTTAATCTCCGAAAAGTCGTTTATCAATTCTTTGCCGAAATCATCGTGCATCACATCTATCAGCTGTTCGCCCGTCGCTTCGATCACGTAACGAAGATCATTGTATTCTTCAAAAATAGCTTTATAGAATTGCGGATATAATTCGTTCTTCCACACGGCTTTAATCCAGAGCAGCTGAGAAGTGTTCAAACGCATGGTTAAGAGCGTATCCAAGAAATGCTCTCCGTACAATTCATGTCCCAATTTCGCAGTGAATTCTCTATCGTTCGGTAATCCGGCATAAAATATATACTTCCTGCAATCCCCATAAGAAGCCACGAAATTCGCCGAAGGACTAATCTGCTTGAAATGGTATGTCCACTCCAGACGGACCGGATCCTTCTCGTTGACCTTGGCCCATATCAAAAATCCTCGTGACTCATCTCCCGAAGTAGAAGCAGCTCTAAAGTGGAAATTGTTCTTCCTCGTCTCTACCTCTCCTAGCACTCCAAACTTATGATGATCCACATTAACAGAAGCCCGAATTGCCTCTAACGTATTACTCTCGTAGTTCTTGTACTTCAATATAACGCTGCCATTGGAAAAGTCGATCCTCCTTAGAGTATTGAAATACAGCTCGTAATCGATTTTAGAAGCAGGATGTTTGATGATGAAATTCCTTTCCGTCGCGAAAATATCCGTGTAAATTTTGTCGTAGAACATCTCAAATTGTATCAGCTTATCCGGATCTGGGGAATATTCCAATTGGGCTTTCAACTTCGATGGGATGGAATTCAGCTCGGACATGTCTACCCGCAAAATGATGTCGTGGGGTAAAGCGTGTGTAGTCAACCTGGATATTAATTTGCCGGGCAGTATGTCATGCCGCAAAATCAATTTGGATGTGGTTTCGTCCCCCCAAACCAGTTTCATGCTCGAGTTCATTGCGGGTGAATCAAACGACACTGAAATATTTTGCGCCACCCTAAACACTCTAAAGGGTAGTTCCAGCGAAGCCTCATATCTCCAGTCCATATACAACACATCAGTCACATTTCTTCCAAACCAATTAAGTCCAACTTCATCATTATTCCAACTTGCTTTGATTTTATATAATTTATCAGCATCATTTTCTAATCTGATGAAGTTCACGGTGAAGTTATTATCTGGTATTATTGCGCTTACAGAAGCGTTCTTGTCCCAACGAATGAGTCCTCCCAATTGATTTTTATCAGGTCTTCTTAAATCCCAGCACACTAACGCCTCCACGTTGAAATTATCAAAATACTTGTAACTAGCAGATACTGGCTTATAACTGTTCTCCAATAAAAAGTTCAAAGTTTTGTTCTCTATATCCAAATGCCCATCAACTAAAGTTTTGTTGTTCAAAACAAAAAGCATGTTATCGGTGTGCTTTAATTCTCTCAAATTTGTAAAAGTATTTAAAACAAATTTCAAATGTTTAGCGAATTTCAGTGGACTTTCAAAGTCTAGCAACAATTTAACATCTTCTAAATCATTTCCTAATAGCTGTAGTTTAGTATAGAATCTCTTAGCATTCACTTGAGCTTCCACGAGGAATTGCTTGTACGTGTCGATGTCTGCCACCCCCAGGTTAAAACTCGCATTGTATTGATCGGTATTCGCGTTGCACTCGAAGAAATACAAATTGTTCTCTGTGTTCAGATTCAATTCGTTCAATAAATATAATTCAGCAAAACTAAAGCCTGCCACCTCGATTGGCGAATATATTTTACTGATAAATTTAAACGTTTTGAAATCGTACATGTTCAGGTTGAATCTCAGGTCGAAGCCGACATCGCGCTGCAGTTTCGGATAATAAATCAAAGCTTTATACACTTTTTCTCCAAAGTTCTTGTATTCGAAATCCAAAGCGTATCTTTCTTTTCCAATGAACGGAGTTCGCATTTCCACTTGGAACATCTTATGTTTGTCTTCGCTGATAAAATTGTATGTAAGCATTCCTTTATTTTCGTTAATCTCCAATTTGAATAGGTTCTTCTTCATTTTCAGCAAGAAATATTGGATTTCTTTGAACGGTGTTTGTAATTTGGCTTCCAGTTGTTTTGATGATAGATCGAAGAGGAAGTTTACTTGGTTTTGGGGATATTTAAATCCGCAGTCTATAAAGATGGAATCCATAAGGATACTGTGGTTGATATTCAAAGAGTAGTTTGCACCAGATGGTAAAGCAAACTGTACAATCGGCCTAAACTCTTTGGGAATGTATACTTTTCCATCAAAGTATTCTAAACCTTCAAATACAGGAGTTCTGATATGAGCCTCAATATCTAGTAATTCTGGTAAGAGGATAAAATCTGCCATCACGTGTATATCTCCAAATATCTCTGAACCGTTGACGTTTAATACATTTTGTGATTTAAATTGGACCTTGTCGCAGTCCCATTTAATTACCAATTCGATTGATTTAAAGGCTGTGAAGTGTGGAATTCTCAAGTCGACATTAAACTCTTTATCCGTGAGTAATCCTTCAAACATCACGAAGTTGTTGGATATCTTATCACCAATAAAGAAAAGTGTAATATAGTCAAGCTTCGTTGCTTCTATCACAAATCGTTTATTTTGTATATAAGGGCTTTTAATACTAAATTTGGCTAAGTAGGGTGGTTCCAATTTCAATGACAAAGCTACTGCATGCTTTATCTTATATAACGCTACTTCCACAGAAGCATCTATAAAGGAATTTAGATGTAATTCAGCATAAACGTCAATCATTTTCTCGATTTTTTTGTAACAAACGGTTTGGATCGAGTAAGAACAATGCGAGAATTCAAAAACGGCATTTCCCGAATACATAACTTCCTCGTTTTCAATTAACACCATCTCGTATTGCGTGGAATTGCTTTTGAAATACTGCCAAATAGTTAGTAGTTGGGTTTTCTCAGGTGTTACCAATAACACGGAGTAGTGAGTATCTTCTAGTATAAGTCGCACTTTATATATCCTTTTGAAAATGATTTCCGCCAGAGACGATTCTGAGTTTATTAAATCGATTTTTAGTAGTCGAGGTAAAGTCAATTGGATCATGGATAGATTTTTGAAAACCTTGAAGTTGAAGTCGTCGTCAGGGAAGGTGTCTATTAGATAGTTCATGTGGATCATCTTATCATGGTTGATGTAGAAACCGGTTAAGTTAACTTTGCTACCTTCATTTGTTAAGTTACATGATAATTTTATGCCTCCATCAATTTTATCGAACTGCGTATCTATAGCAAAGTTATACCAAGTTGGTGATTTGACTTCTGTAACCACTTTGAGAGATTTCTCTTGGACATGCAGCTTAACTATACCGGTGTAATTATTGTAAACTGCTTGTACTTTCAAGACGTTGTTCAGTACGTTATTTATTACGTAAACGCCTACATCGTTGAATCCGAGCTCGGGTATTGTTATCTGTACGGACGTCTCGATCTCTTCGTTCAGCACTTCAATTTTTTCCACCACTTTGTAATGATCCAGAATGAAGCCGTACTTGATGAACGGTACACTCTGATAGATCAAACAGAGAGTGTGCGAGGTGTTATAACGCGAACCGTGAAGTATGAAATTGCTAGTCAGGTTACTAGCTCCTATGGAATAATCGAGAATGATATTGTTCCAGGAGAGTGAGGACTCCTCGCGAATCTTGAACGAGCCTCGGCCTGTGTTGGCGTCGATTAAAAATTGCACCCACTTATCCGGCGACTTCATGTCCACGCCTCCGATCGCGCTGGCGTTATTTACATTTGCATACGTGTGGGCTTGGAATTGCTTTCCAAGAATATTGCCGGCCATTGTCAAATTGAAGTTGTGCCATGATTTCACCTGGCTCAAAAGCCGCAGCGAGCTGAATCTCTTGAAAGGCGATTTGAATGTGAGCGAGGCCGAATTCCTTAGTGTGGAAAATTGGAGATTCGCCCTATTTTCCGGTTTCGGGAAGTATCCTTTGAACTCTATTGACTTGTTGGTGGGTCCTTTGATGTGGTTGAAACTGATCTCACCGTTGTATTCATCTCCTACCTGCGTTTTCAAATACATCTCGTTGTGGGCACGCTCGAACTTCACGGATCCGCTAATATTGATCGGGTATTGATTCCAGTGTCCTATAGTCTCCGTCGTGTATGTATTTACATCATTCGTATATTCTCCTTTCAAATCAATATTCTTAGCATACTCATAAGGAGAACTCAAGAAAACGTTATATTTATTATCGTGCATTGCGAAAATCATTTTGGTGTTCTCATTGTATTGGAAGGTAGCATTAAACTTGTTATTACCAATCTTGAAATAACCATGGGCTATAATATCAGGATTATCCGGTAATTTCACAACAATTTCGCCCTCATACATATCAGACTTTTTAACTAATCCACCCTGCACTTCAAGAACTAAGTTATTTTTAACAAAGTGACCAACCAGTGTTTTATCCTTTTTATTTACTGAAATCATTGTACGTCCTTTCTGGAAACCAACATAGCTTGTACTATAATTCCCATCAAACGCTTTGCCAGGTGTCACTTCAGCGTTCAAATTCACAAATTCATCCCCTAGAGAAGAATTAAAAGTCCACGAACCACTCCCATTCTTTTTCTTATATTCCAATATAATATCCAAATTATTACTGAAAGAGCTGTTATACTCCACACTCAATCTATCAGCTTCTTCCCTTTTGGCCAAAACCTTCAAGTTCATAAATCCATTATTAGGCCATGATAATTTATTCAATACGTAGTATTTGTTCTGGGAATGCGTCAACAAAAATTCGTCTTTAACTTCTTGCAAGACTGGTAGAGGAGATCTAAACAAAAAGCTTCCTTCAACACCATGAGCTTCCTTCCTGACTCCTTTCACGAATAGCTCCATTTTTTTATCTCCGCTCATCAATAAAGCACAGGAATTTAAGGTAGTATTACTTAAATCATTACTCAGATAAACTTTTATTATATGCCCATTGTGATTCCATTTAGTATCAACTAAAACACCCTTATCAATATCCAAAAACCAATCTATCAAATGGTTCGCATCGTTCATTTCTATACTAATATTTCCTCGTTTTAAAGTTGAAGCAATGTCTATACTTCCATTAAAATAAAATGGAGATTGCCAAAACGTTTCCTTGTTTCTCACAAAAGCAGTCAATGTTTGATGATCAGAATCTTCCAAGTTGTATTGCAGTTTTATTTGAGAACTCAAGAATATATCGACAATCAAAGCAATATATTGCGTATTAAATTTATTTTCCAGTTTACCCCTCGATATATGAAATATGGTGTTGTTCAAATTTATAACTTGTAACTTGAACTCTTCATCTGAAATCACGTTACCTTCAATGGTCAATTTGTTGTAAGCCTCGCTCATTTCCACGTTGATGGACTTCCTCTCCAAATTACTTTTCAGATTCACATTAAAACTATTAACGCTTGAAACAACATCGAAGCTTTTGTAGAAAGTGTAGTTTGAAAAGAATGATACGTTTTGGAAATTATCCAAGATGAACATAGAATTGTTCAGGTTCCATTGAACTATAGCATTTTCCTCCTCGATTCCATAAGACCAACTAGTATTGAATTGTTTTTCATCTCTTTGCAAATCAAAATATCCAATTGCAGCTGTACTTGTATGTTGTAAATAGGTTTTCAAGACTAATTTCTTCAAGTCTTCGGATGGCGAAGTCCAATATAATTCCAAGTATTTTGGTTTGAAGTTTAAAAGAAATTTGCACATTTTGCCTTCTTTGCAAGGTATTATTAGAGATATTTTAGTTTCCTTGTTTACAATTGGTAATAATACTACGAAAAACAACTCCTTTTTGCTGCTACCGTAGTTGGTATAAGACACTCTAGCATTGAAAACTAAATCATCTTTCATATTCAGTATTGGGTACATTTCGAAGTCAGGAAGCATTTTCAGTTTCGAATTGAACTTTAAGAATCCAGAATATTCATCAGAAGAAAACACCCTGTTCCATTTCAGTTCTAGTAGTTGATTCATGTTGTTGATGACATGCAGTTGAAGCGATTTAGATAAATCATAGTCAACTTCTAGATGGACTGAAATATTTGAACAATCTGGGAACAAAGCTGGTGCTATCAATTTCCCAGTCAAATCAAAGTATGTATCAGTACTGTAATCTTGGACCATCAAAGATACAACATTTTCACCATGTTTTAAAATTGAAGCTGCATACACACCAGGATCTTCCGTGTAATGCAATGTTAATCTGTAATCGATCTTGAAATCAGCCAAATGGTTATTAGTGCTTATGGATATTTGTCCATCTCCCGTCCATATTTCCAACAACGTTTCTCCTTTATATTCCAATAAAAACAATTCACTCCATTTACCAGTATATCTTTTAGCTGCTAAAGCTGTATGCGCATTCCTAGCATTCAAACTAATCCTGATCTTGTCTTTATCAAGTTTAGATTCCAAAGACAGTCTATGCCATCCTCTTATATTGCTGTTCATATCAAATCTGGTTTGGTAACTATCGGTTTTAAATTTGTTTAAAATGTTACCTTTCATGCTTACGTTTTTGCAACGCAGACTGCAGTCAATAACAAAATCTTGCAAACTTGCAAATTTATAACTACCATCCACTTTAAGGAATTTATCCTGATCAGGTTTATCCACTTGTATTATAAACTTTCCGGCACCAATTTCTGCGTTTACAAAATAAGTCGTTGAATTATATTCGTAATCAACTTTTAGCTTTTTGTTGGATGCATTAGCCATGAACTTGAATGGTAAAGTATCAAATTGAATAATCGATGCTATACTGTTATCTTCTTCAATATTGAAGAAAACTTTAGTTGTTTGATTGTCAGGCAAATTTAGTAGAAAATCAACTAAAATAGTTTCTTTGAATTTAATCCCCACATTTCCGGAATAATCATCGTTTAAATGGAACGTTGAAGAGCTTTCCAGAAAATCCACTAATGTTATATTGATGTTGAAATTATTTTCTTTATTTGGCTTTGATTTCACTGTTCCACGTATAGCAATAATTTTATCCCTTCCGGTGGATGTTAGGATTAGGTGCATGTGTGGTGCTTCAAATGATCCTAGTACATCCAAATTCCCTTTATCATTAGTAGTTGTAAAATTTAGTTTGTACTTATCCTCTGCTTTAGTGAAAATTATGTTAACTTCAGAAGACACTTCTTTTACTAAATAATTAGACTCAATTTCTAAGATTTTCAGTTCAGGAAGATTGCTGTTAAGATTGAGGTAAGCATTTCCTTTACCTTCTTGATTTTCCACATTACCTGTGACCATTATATTAACATCAAAATTTTTGCTATTTGTTGATAACAATTTATGGTAGAAATATAGTTTTGCATCTACTTTACACCCGTATACACCTTGATCGCTTTTGATATTCAAACCATAACTATTATCGGTGTAAAAGTTGTGATTACCGTAAATCACGTCAGCATAAAGCTTTTTGTTGCTTTCTATCCCAGAATATATAAATTTAAGAGAAGAATTGGTTATGAAGTTCGAGTTGGCATTGACTAGGAACTTCTTTTCCTCTCCTTTTTCAATCGCACTGTAGCTCAAATTCAATGATCTATGTAATTTGAATATATTTTGTTCGTATCTTAAAGCTCCAGAATTAACGGACATCCAAAGGCTACCATCCATCAACTTAGCATTGTTTCGAGTTAATTTGAATGTTGACTTTAATTCACCATCCGTTAAAATGATAGAATCAAATTTGTATTGGTTATTTGGCAGTTCAATTGAAGCATTCAGCGTCTTTTGTTGTCCTAGCAAGCTTACAACCTGGATATCAGCATTTAATCTCTTATCAAAATAGCTTCCATTCGTCATTGATTTTAGACTGAATTTGAATTTTTCCTTTTCTGCAAGAGCGCTGCTAACAATGCTCAAATTGGAATCAGAAAATTTTGCATAAGTTTCAAACACCTTTCTTGGTACTGTTAAGTCATAATTAGCAGTTATTATTAGAGGTGGATAATTTTTTATTTGTACTCTAGTACTTATATCGCTAGTCATCAGAATGATTTTTCCTTCAGAAATTATAAACAAGTTGGTCTCATCTAATTTAAGTTCATAGGTGTTCAAATCTGAGTTATAGAATAGTGAGTATTTCAACTTATGTTCTCCTATTTCGCTCGTGAATAACTGTTTGAATATCTGTTCTTCTATTCTATGACTGTATATTATATTAACGTACTTCTTCGGTATTCGAATAGTCAATTCATTGCTCAGATATCCTTGATCGCTTGTAAGAATGTTGATAAACGAATGATTCTCTGGTAGAACTATAATTGTTATATATTTGTTATCGGTGTGGTTGTATCTTAGTTCCATCTTATCAACAACATTCGAAGTGATTAACCAACTGAAGGATTTTATATCATCGTTACCATGGGCTACCAAAACCAGTGTACTTTCTATAGTAAAATTATTACATAGAATTGAAACCTTTGAAGATAGAGGATCTGGTTCGTTTAAGATGTTTAGAGAAGTGTTGTGCTCTAAAAGTTTCAAAGATGCTTGAACGCTTGTATCGAAGATGTTCATACTGATATGTCCTTGCAAATTGAATAGGACTATATCTCGATTTTCAGGTCCTTTCACTGTGAAACTTTCTTTCAATAATCCTGACACTGTGCTGTGAGTGAAGTTCAAATAGTAGTACCCTGTCACAGGTGAAGTCAAATCCATCCAGAACACAACCAACCCATCTAAATTACTCCAATCCAATACGACTCTGTTATATTGTTTCAGTAAATCAACAGTCACAGACAAGTAAACGCTATCCACATAAGCTTTAACTGAATACTCCAAAGTAGTTTTCTCAATTCCCTCGAAAGGTGTCTCTATAATAATAGATGATGTTTCGCTCAAAAATGTATACAACGCTTTTATAGACTTGTTCTTCCAGGATAAAACAAAGTCCATGCTATTAATATCATCATTTTTAACCTCGAGTTTTCCAGTTATCGGCTCAATAGTATTCGAAGGCGAAATCACATTAAAATTAGAATCTATATTCAATCCTCTCATTTTCCAATTAGATTGGGCCTTGATCTTATGTTCGTTGTAAACAAAACTTCCATCGGTTTTGTAGTTACTCAAAGAAACCTGATGTTCATGATTTATTGAAACTCCGATCTCGTATATCTCAGGTAACGTTGTATTCAAATTTAAATATCCATCAAAATGATCACTGGATTTTGACCCAGCCACGACTAAATTCAAATTATGAACTCTCCAAGATACGTTGGACTAATAACAAATGATTACTAACCATATACTATTATGTAAATTGTATTTGACTTACCTGTACTTCAAAGCTGTCGGTGACGACGTAATACTTCAGCTGGAACTCCTGCTTTTCCAAGTACTCGAAAGGCGTTTCCAGTTCTCCAAACCAAATTCCACCAACGTCGTAGATTTTGTTACCCATCTTCAAGTAAATCCTTTGAGACACCACTATTCCCCAAGTCACATTTAGAGTAACCTGAGTTGGACTATTAAAATAATTAATATTAATTGTTTTTAGTTTTATTAAATAAACTTACAGTAAAACGAAAGCTGCTGCAATCTTTTGGTCTGGATATTCTACATCGACATTGTAAAGTCCTTTGTAAGAGTTCTTTTCCATGCTGAGTAGAAACTTCTTGTCTTCATCGTGATCTTTATCCCAGTAGAATTTTAGATCGAATTTCTCAAAAGGCATCACCAGATTAGTGCTTAATTCGAAATGTTGGTAAATGTTTAAACCTAACATCAGACTTAGAACGTTTTGACTTTGAACTCCGTTGATAACAAATAGTCTTTTATCGTTTGCTTGAACCACAAACGAAAGAGAATTTTTCATCCAATTCAAGTGACTTATGTAAATTGTAGTTTTGGTTTGCAGCTGAGTTAAACTCAAGAAAACGTCTTTAGATTTTTGCAAGGTAAATGTTACAAGCCAAGGCGTTCCCCATTGACCTTCAGTTATAGGAAAATCTATGGAGCAATTGATCTTGTAGTTTTGCATATCACTCATTGAAGTATTAGTGTAAAAGCCTTTAATAAATATAAAATTCCTTTCGACTTCGTTTGAATTGAAATATCCGTTGAAAATAAAATCGTAGTTACCAGTCAATTGCTTATCCAAAGAGCCTTTCAAAAGCCAACTCTGCCTTGGATAATAAATAAACAAATCAAAGTTTTCTTTCGGATTTTGTTTGTTGTACCTGAAAAGGCCTTCAACTCTCTGCGCTTTATTCAGTTGGAGCAACAAATGAGTGTTTAGATAAGTCTTTGAATGGTTGTAAGCCACAGCTAGATGATAATCAATTTCCTTCTCCTTGCACTTCAAATAACTTATCAAAGCTATATCCGGAGCTTCTTTGATATCTTGAAATTTAAACAATTGTTTCGTCTCCCACGTTGTACCAAAGAATTTCACCGATCCGCTATTATCAAAAAACCATTTGCTTCGTTGATTACTCAATAAGATGGACATGTTGTAAATCGGTTTTTCAGTACTTTCCAACATAACGTTCAATAAGTCTTTATTTAAATTACCCCTTCTAACCTTGCTAAATTTCAGTGTCACCGCTAGTGTATCATTAATTCGATTGTCACGGCTATAAACAGAAGATGCAGTGAATGATAGTCCTTCGCTGTTCCTTTGCAAAGCGGCGTGTAAATCTCCTGTTAACTTCTTCGAATCCATTTTCGTACGGACTACTATATTCTGTACATCGTAAAGTACGTCTCCGACGAAGGTGATAGGGTCTTTGGTAACGCCTTCCAATGTTAAATCCGCAGTGTACTGGCTGCCTTGTATGTAGCTTAGACTACCGGAAACAGCTGCGACTTGCTTCCGACGATAGTTTAATTTCGCAGTCGGCTCGTAATTGAATGTTTTTCCAGTTCGATTAATCTTGAAGGAGGATTGCAACGAAATAATCTCTTTGTTGTTTAGTAACGTCTCGAATTGGAAATTATACTTGTTAAAATCATGGCCCAGATTGCTGTTGATGTCCAAGTTGATGAATGGTGACACTAATTTGCCACTTAAATAAAGCTTGTCAAAATCTAAGTGGTAAGACGCCAACATTTTTCGGTTTATTATTGAATTGGGTGTATCAAAATGTAGCGACATCGAGTATTGTGATTTCTGATATTGCTCATCGCTCTGCATTTTCAACTGCAATTGATAGCTGTCAAAAATATCATCTTTTTGGATGTTAATTGCGTATTTAAAGGGCCCAGTCAAAGGGAAATTCGGAGTGTTGTCCAATTGAGAGGCATTCACGTACATTAAATTCGAACAGATCTTTAATCCAGTGATTTTGTTGAATTTATTGTTGGTACACATTTCCACAACCTCAGCATCTGCGGTGACGGCTTTAGTTCTGTAATCTATTTCATTCCTTATAACGTATATATCTGAAGATACATTAATCACATCCATTTTCTTTTTGGGAATATTTAGTTTCAGATCCACGATTTTACCGGAATTGATTAAAACGTGACCGTCTACATAGGTGTTCGAGTTCATGTCTCCTACATATTTCAATCCACATTTACTTTTGAAACCTTCCACCACCATAGATCCCACGACATGCAGCGATAAACTAGGATAAATTTTTCCTTCCATGGACATCTTGTAAGATCTCAGTTCGTTAAGATCTAAATTCCCTTTCACAGTTAACCCAATAGTTGCTGTACCATTTGCCGTTAATTCCAACGGAAATCCGATTCCAGTAGGCACTTTGTACGTCGTGTCCAAGAACATCAAAGACTTTGTATATTCAATATCATTCTTTCTGATTAATTCCATTAAGATATTTATAGCATCTCGTGGACTAATTGGTTCTCCAATTAACTCCTGAAGATTCCTGAAGTGTGAAAATCCAATTTCATTCCCAAATATTTTCGCGTAAATCAACCCAGCAGGATCGCGCTTCAAAATTCTTTGTTTAGAAAACTCTTCTCCCAACTCCTTGACTTTTTCGTTCGCCTCCGATTGTGATCTCGCTGTCTCTAAGAACCCATGTATAGATTTATCAGCAAAATATCCTTCAGGTCCAAAGAAGTTTTCAATGATTTCCTCGAAACCTTCCATCCTAGCACCCACTTCGAAAACGTTCACAGTTTCCCCGAATAAATCCATCGTGAAATTTAACATTGCTGATCTAGGTATATAATATTCTGGAGTAAAAACCACATTGCTCTCGATTGCAGCTCCCATTCCTGCAGAATCCAAAAACGCAGAAGCTTCATAGTTCCTCGAATACTTTCGGATGTCCGTATTGAACTTGTTCTTCAAAAACTCATTCTCGAGGAGTTGTCGGATTCCTTGTTTCCACTGTGCCGAAGTCTCTTGTAGATTGGTCAAGTGCGTCCAAACAAATGAACCCACTGCAAATATTTTTGGTTGCTTCCTTGACAAAACTTATTTTAAGTAAAACATACCTTGATTCGTCTCCTCTTTCATAAGAACATCCTTTACTTGAGCGAAGGAGGCGTAGGAGGCACACTGCATCATGGCCAAATAGGAGGCAATCCTGATCTCGATGTTTTCACGAGGCTTCGCAAAGTACTTGTTGAAGTCGTCTAAATTGAAGTTCTTACTGCAGCTAATCCTTCTATGAGCTGCGATGGTAGCCAGTCTCAGTTCGATGCTTATATCTTCGTTCTGAAAACATACTCATAAGAAGGAACTGGAGATAGTCCAAGTGGTATAATTTACGGAATAGCAGGTCTTCAGTAGATGTAGAGAAGTTGTAGTTCCGGCATTACCAATGCCTTTGAGGGCAAGCAGGATATCATGGCTGCTATCCAATCCAGTTGGTACACAGTTCGTCCTTAAAGGCTTCTCAATCTCCTTCATGGCTGCCCATATAGGCTTTTGTTCCAAGCAGCCGGCATCGTTTTTGCAATAGCTATGAATGAGAGTAGAGACAGCCAAAACCGAATTTTTGCGCATCTCTTTAATCTCCAAAAGTGGCTGTAAATTATGATTTTATTGTTTTTTTTTTAATTGAGCGCAAATGAAACTAATTTGTCAACTCCAAAGAAACTTTGTAAATTTAATATAATTTTATATCATTATGTTTATATTACTTAATAAAATATCTGTTTTGTTTTAAGACAAATTCAATTAATTAAAAATAAAATTATTTTAATTTAGATAACATATTTTAAATAAAAGTTATCTAACAATTTATTCAATTTAACGAATTTTGTAATTTTAAATTAAAATTAATTTTATTTTCACATCATATAATAATTTTTGACTTTAAATAAAATGTACGCAAATAATTTTGATGTAAAGCTAGTTTTATCTGCATTTCATAAGAAGTGATTACTCAATTTTTGGCACTCGAATGAATTAGGATAAGTCGAGATAAAGCTGTATTTTTTTGCACTTGATTTCCTCGTCTTTTATTTTTAGATTCGATTCGCAAATAATAAACAATAAACAAATTCCGTAGAAATTGAGTTTCGTTACCACGAAGGCGAACAAATAAATTTTACGACGTAACTCTGATAACGTTATGTAAACAAAACCGTTACGATTCCTGCAAATCCTTAAGAAGTAAAGCAACATACGTAGACAAACCTTATGCAAAAGGCCACGTCTATTTATTACAAATATGTATCCTTTGCAATTTAGATTAGTCCTCCGGTTGTACGCAGCAAATTGGAAAATTGACTTTGATTAGGATATGCAGCGACGATGCATGGAGATAAGCGCTCGATGTAATGCGTAATGCGTTCGGAGAATGCATCGAGATTATTTAATCGGATCCAATACGCAATTTGCAAAAGAGAATTAAGAGCGACAACTTCTGATTGGCTAAATTGACTTCAATGACTAAATTCGAGTAAAGGAATTTTCCTACGGTTGTAAATCAACCCGACCTGATTCAAATGATTTCGGGCCGATTCATCTCACAAAAGCTACGGACATGCAGAGCTATGAAACAGAAACTCACTTTGGCTGCTTGAATTATCTCCAAGGATGGGGCTTTGATGAAGCTCAATGAAGTGATCCAGGAGTCCATCTGCTTCATACTGATCTCCTCATCGGCGTACAGTTGCTTCATCACTTCAATACCATCCATAGTTGTTGTTAAAGACATGGCATCAATAAAAAATTTCCTAAACAAAAATACCATCAAGAAACATTGAATCATTAGTTTTCCAAGATTAATACCTTTGATTTGGAGCTATATCATTAAAAATCACAATTAACTGATTCTTGTCTAAATTCTTCATATTATAAACAAGCGTGGAGAAGAGCTTAGGGACTTCCCCTTCAACTCCATCCTGAGTCTTCATCTGCAGCTCCTTAAACAACTCCTTCAATTTGTGCATATTTACCTGTTCGTCAATTCTATCAGCGGATTCATAGATTAAGGTAGATCTACGAACATCACCCAAATCTGCAAATCGCATAATCAAAAATCTGGAAACCTTGCAAAATTATTTAACTAACAATACGTGACTCCCATTGCGTTATCTATAGTTTTAACGAGTATCATTTCTTGGGAAACGACAGTAACAGCTCCATTATCTCCATTGGAGAATGGTTGGAAAACGTGACGCTCCTCGCATCCCACAGATCTCAAGACTTTGTTCGCCGTGTAAACTTGTTGACAATTCGAGTTGCTCCTAATAACATAGAACATGTTGATTGTTCCAAACTTGATTTATTACGAAATGTAACAGTGAATTGTAAACACGTTTTTGATTATAATTGAACAAATACATTATCAGTTTACTACTGTTTTCTCAGTTTTATGTATCTGTACATTAAATATTTAATTATTATTCAATTCATTTTAATAAACAAAATAAAAACCTATTATTATTACTTTAAGCGTATTTTGTATTGAAATTATATAAGTTTACCGTAAGAGAGGCAGAGATTTGGCTTTTTTGCTGGTGGCATAAGGGATGGATTGCCAGGAAAGATACTGCGAAGCGCGATGTGTGCAAGCCTCAAGATTTTTAGCTTTCTGCACGATAAATCCATCATGGATGTCTTCGGCTTCGTATTTTGTTACACAAGTCCCAGCAACGTCGCTCTAAAACAACAGTTACGTGTATTTACTTAAAATAATTTAAATAAAATTCGGTATTAACAAATGCGTATTTGATTAATATAAATGTTGATTTTAATATTAATAGCGATATTTTATTTATGAAAATCTATATAAAATACCTCGTAAATGGTTGCGGATCCTTTGAGTACTTGCAAGCTGTTTTGGAAGAGCGAAAGGATGGCGCGTTTGACGTTCAACACTTCTTTCTCTTCGTTGGAATCCGAGCAGACGGTGTCGATTTTACCGTTGTGGAAAGAGAAATATAGCTGGTGCTCCTGAAGTTTCTCAAAGCTTCGCAAATCATCGAAATCTTTGAGAGTAGCTGAGCTTATCTTTGAAGGAAAATTACATGATTTTTGGAGATTCAGCGTAAAAGATGATACCGTACCTGCATTGAGTAATCGCAGGAGGATATAGCTTTGATTGTAATGGAGCAGTTGATAGCAATACCACTGTCGTCGATATTGCCATTCTGCACGTTCGTGGAATTCACCAGGCTCCTAACGTCGCCTCGGTATTGGTAGACGTAAGATTTGCCGGTTTCATAACCAAAATTCTGGGTATCTTCTATGGGTTTAAATAATGAATGATGAAATTATGAAAAGGGTTTTAATTTAAATGTGTAATACCTTTGCAATAGCGCGAGCATCGGAAGTTATTTGGATTGGCTGCTACATATTGGAAATCTGCATAGGTCAAGGGTGTTGTCGAATAGAAAACGATAGAAAACAGTGAAGAATTTTGGTTGAGTGACTTACCTATGGCGAGGGAACCCGCGATTAGCAGGAGGTATACACTGGAAGCCTTCATGGCCCCGGCACTAAATATTTGCGTCCAATTCGCGGCACCGTGAATAGTTCACAACAACAATAAAGGAATGCAAACACAAACTAGAGAAAACACTCGGAATGTGTTCTGTTCCAGAAGGGAAAGATTACTACTGATGTGATGAACTGCCACAAAGGTCATTTTAATAGATTACAGTGGGAACACAGTACAGAGATCACTAACTTTTATTTCTTTCGTACCATCATACCCTATACAAACAGAGAGAATTATTACCTTCGAATCTAAACACTGCTTATCGCTGGTGGCTTTTATCTGGTTCCCGGAAGACAAGCATCAGCAGAAGCAACAGCAGCAGGGCATGAGGACCGATCAAATTGGATGTCGCGCGGTGTCGTTTTGGCGTAATTACGAGATGCGCAATATGCGGAGAACGGTGATTGGTGTTCACAGAATTTGCGAGCCGCGAGCCACGAGCCGGTCCTGCAATCCTGCAGACGTCGACGATAAACACCATTACCATTGGGGGGAGGATTCATTCGAATTCTGTCGAAATAATTGGATTGGCCGAGGAGCCGCGAGGATCCCGCGTGATTAATGTCGAAAAAATCCGGCGATAAGTCCGCCTCTAATTGAGCTCCCTCTTCTTCTGCTCCAACATAATCCACATTATACCAAAACCAGAACACATCAGAGAATATTCAAATCAAACCGCCAGATTCGAACGCAACGTTGATGATGGTTATGATGATGATGATGTTAATGTCGATGATGTTGGCTGCGATCATCATGATCGCGGATTCGCTCGATTACGACCATTACAAATCCCCGATTATTTATTCTCTCTTTCACTCTCTCTCTCTCTCGATTCCTGCCGCCCTTTACATCCATCATTATTTTTTTTTCCTGCCTTTAATAATTCATCGCATGTAAATGCGCAGAAGGAAACGCTTGATTAAATATAAATTGCCTCAATTGCATAAGTGCATCTAACGTGCACTGCATCCTTTTCCCCCAACAAATAGTTGTATGCATTAGCCATCAATCTGAGCACAAGTAGACGACAGTTATTCAATTCGTCGTTGTTGTTGTCCACTCGATGGACACAGTGTGGCCGGTGCGTCAGTAATTGAGTGAAATTGTTGATTTCAATAATAATGAAACGCTATTGAATTGCACATTTAGTTGTGTTAAAAAAGGTCAAAGTTCGGGTTGAAGCGATAAACTGAATCGATTTGATAAGTTTGTTTACGGCCGGCGCTTCTGTAACATGATTTATTGATGAAATGCATGCATCTTCATCCTCCCCGCTTCGTCCAATCCTCGTCCGTTCACTCCGTCTATTTTTCACACTTTATTCGCGATTTTTTTTGTTTCTTTTCTTTTAGTTCTTCTTGATGGGTAAACGTTCCCTATTTATCGGTTCGACCTTCGCTTTATCTGTAAGCGTTTCCAAATATTTCGGGTTTCGTTCATCGTGTGTCTATTTTATTATTTTTTTTCCCTATTAATCTACGTCAATTAATTGCATATTTTATTAGTAAATGCATCAATCTTCCTTCATTATCACCAAAGATTTCATATGCAAACTCTTTTTATTCACGTGTTAGCTAATTAAACACATTCCAAGTCCTTTCACCCAATTTAATTATTTATTTCTTCACACCAATAAATAATATTTCTGCATTCTTTAAAATTTTATAAAATAAATACATTTTAACAATAATTCAATAGAATATAATAAAATAATCCGATAATTAAATAAGTACACAATAAAAATAATTCCATAAAAATCCACATAATCCTTTCCACCACTGTGTGGCTATGATCGCCTGTATCACGAAAATCTGATACAAAAGGTCGTTGGTTCGATTCCCAAAAAACCAAAAATTTGTGATGCCCCGAAAGGGGTAGAAATAGGGCTGAAAGAGATTTATATCAATAAATAAATTCAGAGAAGTTTAAAAACCAACAATATTTAAACAAAATTAATATAGTTTTGTTAAAAAAAGCTCCTAAATTAACTTAAAATTGAAATATCTAACATAATTCACTGATTCTTCATCATTGCTAAGAAGAATTTACAAATTAAAATAATTAAAATCATTATCATAGACAACCAGTTTTCTATTAATGCTGTAAAGTTGGTTGCAGAAAACTTTAATGTAATTCAAAAGTTTGAAATTTTTTATATTAACAAATTATTTATATAATAATTATTATTTTGTTAGTGTCTGCATATTATTTTTATGTTTAAAAAATTAATCTTTAAAAATTGCAATTATTTGAAATAATTTTGAAGTTTAGAATAAATTTATTTAAAATTTATTGAGTAAATATATAAAACTCATAATATGTAATATGGACAAACAATATTTATTAACGAAATTCGCGGTTTGTGCGTTAAAATCTGTTAATTACCAGGAAATTAGGAATTGCAAGAGGTTAAAAATAATCAATACTTTGAGAATCGTCAGTTGCCTATATCATTTATATTAATGTAATAAACTTTATTTAATTTAAAAGAGTTAATTTATGTCAATATAACAACTAATAAATGATACACTATTATTAATTATTTAAAACAATATTTCTTCTAAAGTTATGCAATATAAGTGTGTTGCCTATATAGTCTTTAAATGTCAGATATCTCTTGTTATTGTTTACTTCTTAGAATTCTTAGAAAGAAAGTATTTTAACAGAAAAATATTAATATTATATTTCTGGTCAAGGCATTTTTTTAACAATAAACATGGTAAGATCATAAATTAGTTAAGTAATTGCTTTGTAGATTTCCTATAACATTAATACATAACCTTTCATAAACATTGGGAATTGTACAAGCATTTATTTGTAATTAAGATGTTTATAATCACAAATATTATAGGCCTTACTATATAATTGCTTTTTCAGTATTACAGGAAAGAGTTTTACTGATGGTCATTTGAATCAAACATTCTATTAGATGCAATTTGATGTGGATACAAAATGATTCAAGTTAAATATGTAAGTATTAGCAATATTAAATATCTGTTATTTCACCATTTATCTTGGTAGGTGAGAATAACTAATATTAATAAAATGAAATCTGATTGTAAACATATAACAAAGTACAAGAATGATTTTTTTTTGGTTTCCTAATTCTAAATTTAAATTAATCTATAAGAATAAGTGATTGTTATTACTTAAACTAATTGCTTTTTCTTTGTTCCAGGACTAACCTTGATGATAATGTTAGTTATGCAGTGTTGGGAAAGAAATAGACGGAATAGCCAAAAGTTACAACAATGAAATATTAATTTCTAAAATTAATTGTGTAAGTATTAACTTTATTTTTTATTAAATACTAGTGTAAAATTATATTAATTGTTGTTTTTTGTAGTTTATTGCATAGACTTGAATTTTTAAGAATCTAATCTGAGAAGTATAAAACTACATATTCATGAAGATTTACTAAAACAATTGGAAATGCCAAGTATAAGAGATGTGAGGATGTTCACTGAAGCATCTCCTTAAAAATATTATAGGTAATATTTAAAGAAATCTTTTACAATATTTTTATTGTTTATTTAAAGAATAAATTACAAAGTTGTAATGATAATTACGTGAAAAAAATGTGCTAACAAACAAATATATTCAATAAATACTTTTAAACTTTGAAAAATCTATTAATTTATAATGTTCTCATATATAATATTATATATGCACTATAATAATTAAGAAACATTTAAAAATACCCAATTTTTAATTCTTAAATTGATATTCGAAACAGTTTCTATGCAGATTTATAACAAATGTTTATTTTATTATGTTATAAATAAAAAATATATAGATTCATATTATTTTTAAAAATACAGATGATGCTTTTTAGTTCGATGCATTTTTTTTTTAAATTATTAAGAAATTAAGTTGTTATTGATGTTTTCAGTTTTGGCATCTTCGGACTGAAAATTTTGTTGCCAAATTTCTACCAGGACAGTAGAAATTCTGAAAGGTTAATGCTTCCATCTGCCCATGCTCAAGATATTATTGATTTGTTGATATTAAACTAACCTATTGAACAGAATTTGTTTTGATTCAAAATAAAGTGTTTATAACATTTGATTCTATCTAGTTTTGTTACTTATTGGATAGGTAAGAGTATCTGTACTTCTTAAAACCTATTGGTAATTATAATTATTTTAAATTATCTTTGTTCTTTTTATTCCAAGACAGTTTTGGTTTTGTTCTACTTCTCAGTGCTTATAACAATTGGACATATTTCTAATGGATAATTCATTTGAATTGCTACAATAGATAAACAGCTAATTTAATTGGAAATATATAAAATAAGAAATTATTTATAAATTATTAAATATACATTCGTTTTTACCTTATGTAATGAATCATTTACTTCTAGGATGAGCAACAATTTGAAGAATGCAACTTCCAATCTATGAAAACACAAGAAGAAGACCTAAGATTTGTTGTATTGGAATAAGAACTTATATGAATTATCAATTGTCACAATAGTTCAATCAATTGGTAAGACACTAAGCAAGAGACTTATACACTTCAGTTTTAAATAAATTGTAACTATATACTAATATATTATTCTTTTCAATTTGTAGATACTCCTTCTTTACATATTAACATATCTGTTTTAAATGGAAGTGCATTTGTCAGAGAAAAATATAAGAATGAACAAACATAGATTTCAGCAAATATTGAACTATGTAAAACAACGTTTTCAAAGAAATCTGGAGTATTTAGATACTTCGTTACGTAATTTTTTTCAACAACCCTTCAATATAATTACATTATCGACAAAACCATTTTAAGGTGAATGGTATCTTCGTGCTGTCGTCGCCAGCTGTAGAAATTTAAAAAAAAGTGAATAGGATTTTCTTAAAAATGTAATACCTAAGTTTGATAAATAAGTTATGGTAGCTACAAACGTGCATTTACACTCATTTTAATCTCTCTATATTCAAGATCAACATTAATATCCAAAACTCTTCTGAGAGTAGGTGTATACGAAAATACGGGCAATTTTCAAAAACGTTGTTAACCGAATTACCTAATACCAAAGTTTGATAATTAATTTTAACGAAGCTATGGTGGCTACAAACCTGTATTTACACTCATTTTAATCTCTGTATATTCAAGATCAACATTAATGTCCAAAACTCTTCTGAGATTTGGTTTATACTAAAATACAGATCATTTTAGAAGACGTTATTTTCCCAGCTCATTTGTGAAATACCAAAGTTTGTTAATCAATTCTGAAAACACCATTGCAGCTACAAATTAACATTTGTACTCATTTTAATCCATGTATATTCAAGATCAAAATCCATATGGAACATTCTTCTGGGAGCTCATGTTTACGAAAATACAGGTCATTATCTAAGACGCTGTTTTCCTATTTGTTCGTTAAAGTGTATATGTATGTTTGGTTGCCTGCACGTACTAATTTAAATAAACAAATATGTCAAAATAGTGCTTGCATAAATCTAATGTTATTACTTTAGTCTAATAAATAAAAAAACTAATTAGATTTCGAGTTATATACATTTTAATTATTACAAGCAGCGTGATCTGTGGGAATTTGCAGGAAATACATACACAGGCATACGTATATGTAGTTGCAGACTGTTTCTTGATTATTCCGATAGATATATTTGATTCGCGAAAACCGCCAATTCATTAAAGCTTAATAACTTTCTTATTAATTGACCAAAACTAACGTCTTTTATAGTAAACGAAAGCGAAATAATTATTCTTTAAAACAATAAATTAAATTTTTCTAATATATATGAATATAACCATTTATTTAACTATTTTTGCTGCAATACCTTCACGTACGCAAATTAAAGAAAAAACTCCAACCTTTCCAATGAGCTGACTGCAGTTATCAAAATTAAGCATTTTAAGAAAATTACATCATCGATCACACAATTTAAAGTTGAATACCTCACCTTTCCAACGAAACTATTTGCATCTTCGTGCTGTTGTTGAGTGAATACAATTTTCTTCAAAATCGCTGTTTCGCTGAGATCCGAAGAGTTTTCACGTTTTTTCTTAATTACACGTAAATTACGTAACTTTTGTTGCATTTCATGATTGCGTAAGATGGGCGCCACCCATACATAACTTTTTATGAAACAAAAGTTACGTTACAGGAAAAAGGCGTTTTTTTCGATTTTCGTGAATTTCTCGACTATGAAAAGCCCTTTTTCATTTGATACCAAAATTATATAAATCTGTTAAGAAATAACGGACAAAATCAACATTTTTAAGAAAAGTTTTGCTTAAAGTTTCGACTGGAACTTCGCTACTATGTTTTCACCAGTAAAGCAGCAATTTGAAGAGGTATTATTCGCAGTGATTCAAAATGTGCGTCGGAATTAATAAATATTTACTAAATAAAAGTCGATTAAGTCTAGAAGCGCATAATTCAGAGTTTCTGTATTATGTGTGCGTTAGTTTTGAATTTTAAAAAGTTCCGTTTAGTTTTATCATTATATAAAGTATCATAACATTGGCTATGTTTACATATAATTCGTTTACATCATGTTGGTAACAATGTTGCTGGTATTTTGACGCTTTTGATGCATTTATATATCGACATTAAGCAATTTTTCTTTTAGTGCAACGTTTCGAATTCCATATTATTAATAATAAACAAATTGTGATAATAATAATTTACTATATTTAATAAGAATAGTAAAGAAAAAAAAAACGTAAAGTTAAACAACAAACAAATAACTACAAACTCGGTACTGCCTATTCGTAATGATGCATTTAAACGCAGATATATCTAGTGCCCTTCAGCTTTTAGAAGATATAAAACACACTGTAGATGAACTCGATGATTCGAGATTGCTAGCGAACACAACGACCGACCTGAATCTGTTGATTTCCGTTTTGGAGAATCCCATTTTTAGGAGTATAGTAACAGTGCAAGATTCCTTGAGCGAATTAAACCAACAATTGGGTCAACATCCATCAATATTACCAGTGGATTTTGATATAACACCAGCTGGTGAGTTAGCATTGAATGTACCACCAGGAGGAGACCTCTACGATGCTGGATATGGAGATGACTATCAGCATCCAAGGGACTTTGATGAGCAGAGGGTGCCTTCAGCACCAGTGTCACCAGGCTCACCACAGCTTCATAGCTTTACAGTCAATGAAGATAAGCTGATGATGCTGGATAGAAAACCACTGCTGGAACAGGTTCTGTCACATGATGTAAGTAATGAATTTTATAATCAATATGGTTTTACTTTATATAATCTGCTGTAGAAAGTGCAAGGTCTGGTGCCTAGGGTTGAAGAGGATTCCATTCATCGTTCTCCTTCTGCTGTTAGTGATGCTTCCAAGGCTGGGTCTGATACTCTATCAAACACAGAATGGGCCCAAGTGGAAGCTATAGAGCTGGTGAATGATGGCACAGGCTTGGGATTTGGAATAGTTGGTGTAAGAACAATGGGAGTTGTCGTTAAAACGATAATACTAGGAGGAGTTGCTGACCGCGACGGTAGGCTAAAAAGTGGTGATCACATTTTACAGGTAAAATATACCCTAACTATTATAGAAATTATATGTCGATAACTTTTTGCTTTTTAGATCGGCGATGTAAATTTGCACGAAATGGGATCCGAGCAGGTGGCTACTGTATTAAGACAGTCTGGGACTCACGTCCGTTTAGTAGTCGCTCGACCTGCAGATCTGACCTCCGAATACTTGAGCAGCACCGCTCCTCTGGTTCCTACGAGACTCCTAACAGAACCCGCTGAATTGGATTGCTACCTCATACAGAACAATTGCGAAGCGATATTCCAAAAACAGCACGAATACAAAGAGTATTTATTCGATTTGCCGGCGAAGAGCTACAAAGGACTTTCGCGTATCCCGGCTTCGCCGTCGCTGCCGCTGTTGAACCTGGACATGGCCATGAAAATGCCGGAGATGGAGAAGTTCACCGTAGAGCTGAAGAAAGACGCAAACGGTTTAGGCATCACCATCGCTGGTTACGTAGCCGGCTGCGAAAAAGAGAAATTGTCTGGGATTTTCGTGAAAAGTATCAGCAAAGGAAGCGCAGCCGATTTAAGCGGGAAGATCCAGGTCAATGACCGGATTGTTGAAGTGGACGGCGTATCGCTTGAAGGCTACACAAACCATGATGCAGTTGAAGTGCTCAAGAGTAGTGGTGGTGTGGTCAAGATAGCAATAGAGAGATATCTTCATGGCCCCAAGTTCGAACAGCTGCAACAGGCAATTGCCGCCGATGAAACCAAACCAACACCCTCTAGTCCACCAAAACCACGGTAGTAAGCTCCTACAACCACGCTAACTACAAACAATATAAATATCACATACACATATACGATATACTCGCAGTTGTTAACTAATTCTACTAATCTTTCTAAAGTTAATACTTGTCCAGTCAATTTTAAACTATAGAATCTCGTTAATGGTTGTATTTCAAATAGTTTAGATCTTTTCAATCGTTCTCACCTCGCCAATTATAGTAATAAGAAATGTTGAAGTTATAACGAGATCCTAGAGTTTTAGTTTTTTTTTTTTAACTAATTGTTAAACGGGTTTTGTTTTTATTACGGTTATTATTTTTAAACTTTATGTTTTGTTAATTCGTTTAATTTATTTATTTCAAAATACATTTCAGATTTCCAAAGGAACGAAAGGATCTGGAATTTGCGCGCGAAAATTCGATAACTAAGGAACCGATCGAAGCGAAAAACGAACATTTGAATCTTTTACACGATAAGCAATATCAGTGCGAGTTAACGCCAGCAATAGAGGAGGCAATCATGTTGAAGTGGTCGGAGATATTCAAGAGTAAGACGGAGATTGTCGTGGCACAGCTGACTAAGTTCGCGGAGCGCGGTGGCTTGGGTATAAGTTTGGAAGGTACGGTTGACCTAGAGAACGGACAGGAGGTCAGGCCGCACCACTACATCCGGTCCATACTGCCAGAAGGACCGGTGGGCAAAAATGGAAAGCTGAGATCAGGCGATGAACTACTTGAAGTAAACGAACACATGCTTCTAGGCATGAACCATCACGAGGTGGTGAGCATCCTCAAAGAGTTACCTCTGCACGTCAGAATGGTATGTGGGAGAACGCCCAACAGTATCTCTTTGAAGCAGCCAGATCAGATCCAAAATAACATCAACGAACGAAATGGACTCGGCGGAAGCCTTCAGAATCTGGTGTCCGCTTCCGATAGACTAGTCAAGGCCAAGTCTGACGGATCTATAGCAACCGCAGCTGCAACAACAGAGATCTCCTTCAACAAGATCAAGTCTAGATCGCTGGAACCGCTCACCGGTCTGGCAATGTGGAGTTCCCTGCCGCAGATCATAGAATTGGTTAAGGGTGAGAGAGGTCTTGGTTTTTCCATACTCGACTATCAGGACCCTATTGATCCGAACAATACCGTTATCGTTATCCGGAGCTTAGTACCGGGCGGTGTCGCACAATTAGATGGTAGACTTATTCCGGGTGATAGATTGTTATTTGTTAATGATACTGCATTAGAGAATGCTTCCTTGGACCAAGCAGTACAAGCCTTAAAAGGGGCCGCGAAGGGTGTCGTTAGGATAGGTGTAGCTAAACCACTGCCAATTACTGATACTGTTGCCTTCAATACGCAACAGAATGCAGATATTGAATTAGATACAAAATCACTAGTTCTCAATTACGATTAAACAACAATAACTAATCATGTCTTATTTAGGTCACGGTACTTCACACCACTATCGATCCTCTATATTTACATCTTGTGGACTTAAGCAATAAGTCATTCTCCCACAGCAAACATATTACTATAAATCGAAAACATCAATAATCCTTCCTTCGCCAAAGATCACATAACAACTATATACAGGATCGTTAGATGCAGCTGAAATGTTCTTTATTGGAAATCATGTTTCCATGATCATATTCGTAATTCGTATTATTCAAGTACAAAACTGTAAATACTACTACCAATCCGATACGCGAAAACTAAGGACAGATTTGAAGAACCGAGTCTTATAACATACAAATCAATATAAATATATATATATACAGACTATTATTATATAATTCAATCTTTATTTCACCGTTTCTTATTTATTTCTTACGACGTTATTGGACAAGTTAGTTATTGCTAGAATTCTATTCCAAAAATTTTAGAATACTTCTTTACTTAAATACACTTGTTACACATTTATTACTATATACATATAAAAAACATAATATTTAATAACATATTCACGAATTAATAATAATTGAATAACAATAACGAGGAACTGGTGTAAAGATCTAATAATTCAGCATTCGTTGGCGCATTGAAAGCCGTATTTTTCGATTGCGATTTTTAACTATTAAGTAACTCCTCAACAAATCATCTAGAAAAGAAAAAAAATAATAATATCAAAGCAACTAAAAACGAAGTGATATCAATGCGCCAATTTTATATACACACACATATATATATATTATAATTGTTATGCGAAATGCAGATTAAATAATTACATTTATATAATTTTAGGGGGAACATTGAGGTACTAAAATTTAGATTTAATATTTAAATAATCTCACGATTGTTTAATTCTATCCAGGTAATTCAATTTTTATACATTCTTTATCGAAAAGAATTATAATAAGATGAATAATAAAAAAAAAGAAACATGCACAAAATTTTAGATGCTGTGGAACCAATTGCGCCTTTTTAGTATTCTATTTATTGAGACATAAAAAATAAAATAAAAAGAGAGCCACATACAAAACAAGGTGCATTTGAATGCACCGGAATGCGATTTGTTTTCAATCGAACTTTGGTGCAAAATCACTTGCAACTATGGTTTTGCGTATATTTAGTGATATGCGATGATATCAATGTATTATATTAAACTTAGACAATTTTTTAGACACATTTTACAACGTATTAAATGCTACAACTAACTACAAACATTAACAACAAAAAAAGCTTAGGGTTAGAAAACTCAACAGTACACTTACAATGGCAATTAAGTAATTTATTAATATTTAAAAATCTTAATTATACATAGATGTATGTATATACATAAAATAATAATAATTGTTAAATTTTGATTAGTCATAGAAATTATCTGGAATTTAAAGATTAACTAATATTACTAAATCAATAATAATAATACTTATTATCAAATGATCCCATGTTACTACAAAGTACTGCATAAATACTAAATCTACAAATAATTTTTATTTCTACATTTACGTCTCGTGTTTATTTTTAGTCAATAAATTTATTAGAAACTCGCAACATTCGAAAATTATTAGTAAAAAAAATATATATATTTCGTCTCATCTACTATAAGATTGTATGTAATACAAACGCTGTTATCACCTTCCATGTAATATTTAACTAGATATGAAAACAAAAGTATATTTCTAGATGTAAATACTTGAAAAAGCCATTTTATTAATTCGAATCTAGTCATATAAAATTGGTCTGTAATTAAATACATAAATGAAAAATAATTATTTACAGATTTTTGTTGTTAAATAAAATTTACTTAAATAATATAATTAAACGATTCAAAACACAGCGCTTTATTTAACAACAATACATTGCTTTTTCAATCAAGAATTTATTAATTGCATTATTTGTTCGAACTTTTGTATATAATTTTCATTAATAAAGCGAAATTCCCAACCTCTATTGTTTTTAATTCGATAAAAAAACATTGATATTTGCACTTTGATGGTTAAAATTTGCAGAAAATGTTCAACAATAGTTGTTTTCCATTGCAAAACGCTTACCATTGAAAATATACACACAAAGGCAATGTGTGTATTTAGCAAACTGCTAAATTTCATTATTTTTTCACTGAGTAAACTGAAATAAGTGATTAATAATGAATTGATAACGAAACGTTGAGTAACACTGAAAATTTTCCATACATATACAGTGGAACCTCGCATAAATGAATTGTAAGAAAAATGACTCGCTTAACAACGACGTTTCGCATAACGAGTGACGATTTAAAACTCGTGTGCACATATTGTGTATTTTTTTAATGTTTCACTATACGTGTAAAAATCTGGAAATTTTGGAACGGATTAAACTCGTTATGCGAAGTTCCACTGTATTATTATTGGATTATTGAATTTATTTTTAAGTATTTCTTGAAATTTTTAAATATTTATTACTCATCTATTGAAAAGAAATGATTGATAACGATGCGATTAAGTTTTCGAAATATAATTATCATTGGGTAAATAAATTTATGTAAAAGATAAACAATATCTTTTTATATATTACTTTATTATAGGTTGTACATAATCATTATATTTAAAAGTTCAACATGCAAGTTAAACAAACAAACAAAAAACAGAATTTTCCAGTACACACAAAAATATATATATTAATTAATTTCTTATATAATATCAAAGTATATTTATTCACAGTTTATAGTGGATCACCAATAGGTTGAAATGCTTCTAAAGAAAATGTATTTATTAATGTTTAACAAAATAAAAAAACAAAAAACATAGTTTCATCGATTTTAAATTAATTACAAATTAAATAAAAACAATGTATTAAATAAATAAATAGGAGTTTTAATGCGTCTTTGATATGATTATTATTATTATTGTATTTATTGCAATGTATTTAATCTATTATTGGTATGGTACAAAGTAATGATGAAAAAATATACATTTTATATTTATATATTACTATTAAAATATCTTATTGCTTATACAACATAAAATATATTATAATCTTTAAATAACAAAATAAAAATATTGAAAAAAGAAACGATTAGATTATTAAAATAAATGTTAAAAAACAAGTTTTAGAACTCATGGTCAATTTGGTGTTGAGCAACATATTCTAAACTAGGAATGCATAGTTTTGCGTGCTTTTTTATAAATCCGCACCAGATTGTTTCCTTGAACTCGTCGACGCGATGGAAGTAAGAACCCCAAATATTGGAAACCAATAAGTCTTGGTCTGTGTGATTCTTGCTGTGCCCAAAAATGCCCTCTGCCTCAAGTTCTTCACAAACCGCTACAACGTCGCAGGTTGTATTTACAGCTGGAGTATAAACATCTTGTATCAGGTTGTCACCAACATACAAAACTTTAGGATTGTTTTTCTTGGATGCCTGCTGGAGAAATTTGTGCATACCAGCCCAGTTACCATTCAAGTATACCCCATTGGTTTGGAGATCTGTCACTTCTTCAGTTTCTTTAAAGCCTTCAACACCAATGAAGGGACGGTTGTCTGTAAAGAATCCAGGTTTTTTGGCAAAACAGATGACTATATCAAAGAGGTCTTTCCAGTTAGGTCCCATACAGTGAGTGGAAGTGAATGAAGCAAAATCCACATGAGATCCAGTAATTAAAAATAAAACTTTCTTCTGCTTCTTTAGGGAGACAAGCCAGTCCATCATGTTAGCACTGCACTTCTGAATGTAGTCACTTGGATGTTCCTTGATGGCTGTGAAGTACTCACTGGTGTTTTTACTAAAGTTGTCCTTGTGGAACATGTCTTGTAAAGCATCCAATATATCTGAGTATATATTATATTTCTCTAATTTGCAGCCATTCTCCTCATCAATAGTGTCAACAGCTCGAGCAAATATGAGGCCAGCAGGCATATCAAAATAATCTAATAAAGGTCTTACAACCTTAGAGTAAGGACCATTCCATGTTTTCAGTGGATTCTGACTGAAAAGTGTGGTTGTTTCCCATCTGCATTCGGTTCCATAGTATGACGTTAGTTCATTGTCATCCAGCTTCTTAGTACCATGGGTTCCATGCAGAATATGGCCATCGGGAGCAATTCTCAACAGGTTGCCCCTCTCAACATCAAGTATGAGGCCTTTGATCATAAAATCTATATGCTCCTCAATTGGTCTATTCAGGTGGACTCCTGAATATCCACGTTCTTTTATTAGAAAATTGGCTAGGCATTTATATTCTAATTTTACCATATTGCTAACCTTATATCTACATATAGTATTGTCAAGATCGAACCCTAGACAATCGTAATCTAGGAATTTGAAAGACTCCTTGGAGTTCACCTTTAGGTTAGAACACTCGAACATTTTTGGTACTCTGCTCTTCTGGATGTTCTGAACAGGACGAGAGCTATAGAAACACTTGCTGTCAAAACAGCTGGACGCTAGCTTATGTCTTATCTTCCCTACCACCATCACAACAGCGTTCGGCATTGATGATACGAACGCCTGATTGCGTAAACTAATCAACACACACATGATAATGACACCTTAAGTTTTTTGTTGTTGGTCGATAGCAGTAGCAGCAAGCACTGAAAGTGTCAGCTCCGAGATGCACGCACCAACCACAAACTGCACGAAATCCAATTACGATTATCGATCTGACTATGTCGCTCTCGCATAATGCAATTATCTCAACTTCACGAATTGCCGCGCTGACGTCTTCATTTCCGGACGTTAACTGTTCTTAACTTCTCTAAATCTTCTACTACGCTGCGACCACTGAGAATCGGTCATTGGGATTGCCTCTCCACTTCGACGATTCCTTTACCAATTCTAAATCGCGCCTGGCACCGCAATTCAATAACAAAAATAGTCGCTCATAAACGCGTGCACCACTCGGTCACATGATCTAAACAAATAATAAACATTCGACTTGATCATTGCCATTTGATAACGCCCGAAGTCCTTATCAAAGTCACAATTACAAAGAACTTTGCGCGTATCAATTTTCGCAATAAAAATATCCACATGTATCATGTAACACGCATTCGTCTATAATCATTTACATTAACGGACCTCTATTCTTCAATTACACGCTCAAAAACAAATTGAATAACAACAATGACGAAGAAGCGCAAATCAAATAACAAAAGTCTCATAAATATTTGTACAAGCATTCCTTTAGGTGTTAATAACGAAGCAATTGGAATAGATCGCCTTAATCTTAATGATAGGATGACCTTCCTTGAAATCTAATCACGTCAACCTTCGTAATTTATGCTTATATAATCATGAATAAACGGGATTTAATAACGAACGACAAAAGCAGCATGTATATTTGACTAATTATATATTTATTCTCCAGGAGAGGGATGTAAAAAAATCGCTTATATAAAAAAATATATATTGGAGAGCTCTCTCGTGATTCCTACAACTTTCCAGTGAGCTCTGGAACGGCCTTGAACAGATCTGCGACCAAACCATAGTCTGAGACCTGGAAGATTGGTGCTTCCGCATCCTTGTTGATGGCCACGATGGTCTTGCTGTCCTTCATACCCGCCAAATGTTGGATGGCTCCGGAGATGCCGACGGCAATGTATAGATCCTAAAAACATGGACTTTGTAACGAACTGATTCTCTTGCCAAATCCTTTAATACATACAGGAGCGACGATCTTGCCGGTTTGTCCAACCTGCAAGTCATTGGCTACGAATCCTGCGTCGACAGCGGCTCTTGAAGCGCCAACGGCAGCTCCCATCTTATCAGCAAGATCGTACAAGAGCTTGAAGTTATCGCCTGACTTCATTCCACGACCTAACGAACAAAGCAAAAATATTAATATATGCAAATTCAAGTTTTACATCAATATTTTTCATTATGATCATGTAAATTAACGTTCTTTACCTCCACTGATGACAACTTTAGCGCCGGACAATTCTGGACGATCCGACTTGCTAAGCTCTTGGCTGACGAAGGTGGTCAAATCAGTACTATAGCTTCCTTCAACCTTCTCAGTGGCTGTAGAACCACCCTCAAGTTTATCAGCTTCAAAGCTGGTTCCTCTGATGCTAATAACTTTAATAGCATCCTTAGCAGTCAAAGTCTGGATGGCGTTACCTAAGAAAGTAAACAACTAGAGTCATTACATAATTCAATAGATTATTTGGAATTGTGTATTACCAGCATAGACACTGCGAACAAAGGTGTCTGGGCTCTTAATGTCAATAACATCTGATACTGGTGATACATCCAACTTAGCTGCAACCCTTGGAAGCAAAGCCTTTCCAAAAGCTGATGCACCAGCAACAATATGTGTAAAATTGAACTGCTTTTGAGTGGCAAGGACCAAAGGGGTGATACTTTCAGCTGTAAAGCCATTGAAGGCATCAGATTCAGCAACAAGCACTCGGGCTAGTCCATTACACTTGGCAACAGCTTCAGCGGCCTAGAAATTGTTGCCCCCTTTAGACTCTACATATTAATAAAAGATTTTTTCTCTCTTACAGGTCCACACTTGGTACCAGCAACCAGAACAGTGACTTCACCACCCAACTTCTTGGCTGCAGTCAAGGCATTTTGTGTAATTGGTGAAAGTGCTTCATTATTGTGTTCAGCAATAATAAGGGTACTTTGCAGCCTCCTGAGTTGGCTGGAAAGCTAAACAGATTGCATTGAGTTACATTTATTAACATTTAATTAATTAGAATATTTTTACTTACTTGAGTGGAAACTTGACGAGTACAAGTTGAAAACATGACGATTAAACAATTTACATAACACTGGACTAATAAATAAGATTAAAGTTTCTGCAGATACACGAATTTATCAAAGTCCAAGGTTCAAATCGTCACGTGGACAATACCAACTTATTTATTTGTGGCTGCACTGTAAAATTCAATATTCAAATATTCCGTCAGTGCATCAATTTAATCCCATTTTTTTACATACTTGCACATAATTGAAGCTACTATTCTAATTATGTTTTTAGTACTTTTCTATTAATATATAATACATAGTCAATAAATATCTATATATTCAAGTTGCTATTAATAGAGTACAATTTCCTTAGAATACGTTTGTAATAGAAACCATTAAGAAAAGTAATAAATTAATTCCTCACATAGACCAAACAAAAACATAACACTATATAATTATTTTTTTTTTTAAATACACAACAAATATCTATTAGAATTTTACAAATAATAGGAATAGGGGAAGTTGGAATTTTCATTTTAATTTAACCATCCTGAACTAATAAAGAACACGAGTACAGAAATAAGAAAATATTATAATAGAAGAATGCTCATAACTAAAACAGGTCATAAGGCATATTATTGTTCTGCAAAGTGGCTCCTTTTTTGCAATGTAAAACACTATTTAAAAAAATGAGCCGTCGTTGATCTGATCTGATATTTGTTGAGACAACTTTTATTTAAATAGGACAATGAAATCTATAGGCCAGATGCGGTATCTTTAGATTTCAATAGATACATATACTTTCTAGATATACAAACTTTATTTTAAACTTTTAAATAACAAAAAAATATATATAATAAATAGTTAAAATCCATATTTCCCTGAATGTAACGAATACTTTGTGGGAATATTCGTATCACAATTGACTATTCCCATTACTTGACTATCAACTACTTCTATATACGTGTATATATATAATATAGTAATACAATTTAAACTGCTTCTACTGCCATGGCTATGCCCATTCCTCCTCCAATACAAAGTGCGGCTACTCCTCGTTTTAGGCCCAAATGTTTTAGGTTGTAAAGCAATGTTACAAGTACTCTGGTTCCAGAAGCGCCAATTGGATGACCCAGAGCAATAGCACCTCCGTTAACATTGACTTTCTTTGGATCCAAATCCAACTCCTTAATGATAGCAACAGATTGAGAGGCAAATGCCTCGTTAATCTCATACAACTCAACATCGTCTTTGGTCCAATTTACTTTTTTCAACTGTAACAAACGAATGTTTAATAATTTGCTTAATAATACAAGACGACTATTTGAATACCAATAGTTTAATTGTTGGAATAGGAGCCACACCCATGAGCAACGGGTCGTTGCCCATCTCTGCAAAGCCAACAATACGAGCTAGTGGTTTTAAATTCTTTGATTTTACTTCAAAACCATTAGCCAGTATTACTGCAGCCGCTCCATCGTTGATTCCTGAAGCATTGCCAGCCGTTACAGTACCGTCAGACAAAAAGACTGGGTTCAACTTTGTCAAGCGCTCAATTGTGGTACTTGGTTTTGGATATTCATCCAATTTAATCAAGTCTTTTCCAACTTGAACTGGTACAATTTCATCATCGAATAAGCCTTGTTCCATTGCAGAAGCAGCCTTAATCTGAGAATTTAAAGCAAATGCATCTTGTTCTGCTCTTGATATCTTATACTTCTTAGCAACGTTTTCAGCTAAAATAAAAATCAATTAAATTTAGCTTTGTGGAGCAATTTACTTTCAGTACCAGTGATTCCCATATGGATCTGATTGATAGAATCTGTTAGACCATCCAATACCATAGTGTCTTTCAAGGTGCAATCACCCAATTTGACTCCTCCACGGATATAAATTGAATGCTCTGCTTGGGTCATACTCTCCATTCCAGCACAAAGGACAACTGAAGAGTTACCTGCCTTGATTGAAGTATAACCCAAAGTGACGGATCTATAAATGGAATGTTTTCAGAAATTGGTATTTCATAAGTTTAGGGTTTTATTACTTTAAGCCAGAACCACATAGCATATTCAAAGTGGTAGCTGGTACTTCAATGGGTATTCCGACATTTAAAGCTGCTTTTCTGGCAGGGTTTTGGCCTTTGCCTGCTGTCAGCACATTCCCTATGTATACTTCTTGGATGTCTGCAGGTGCAATTCCTGAACGTAGGATGGCACCTTTCAAAGCATGTTTAGATAAATCAAAGATGTTGATTGACGAAAATTGGCCCTTGTAGTTGCCTGCAAAACAAAACTGCTATTATTTGGGATAATTTTAGTAAGTCATTTATACCAATTGGAGTGCGGCACCCGGAAACAATGTATACGGCGTCTTCCATGTTCTTCGTTGCGTCCACACTTAAAGTATAATATATAATTGCAAAAGTATGTCGAACGCACGGCTTTTATAACATCGCAAGATCATATAAAAAACATTAGCAATGCAGGTAGCTATGTTGCCATATGCAATTTGTTTAATTGCAAAGATAAAATTAGATGCATTCATAATTCTTCGAGTGTTAACAAGCGCATTGCCGGTTTCACTCTGTATATATATATATTATTGATATGTTTATCATTAAACAATTTTTGTAATTTCATCTGCAGTGTGAATTAATTATCGCCATCTCTCGGCAGAATTTGGTAGATCAATCAGTGGAGGTGGCGACACCATGATGGTCATAAACGCCATCTTCATGGTGAAGTTTGTTGTATTATGATTGTCGTTTTCTTAAGTGTGGTGGTGCTGTAGTGTGACGGTGTGCCAAAATGGCAGAAAACGGACAGGACAATCCCGATCAATTAAAAAACATAGGTAAAGTACAAATATTTTCAATAATTTTACACCGTCGTGGTTTTTAACGTATGTCGCACCCATCCCGAGGCCAGCTCGCCCGGTCCACCCTTCATCGCGTTATATAATCCGGAAGATTCGACCATCTGTAGGTTGTTAACTCCTAGATAATCAAATTCAGGCAGATATTAAATGGAATCATTTGAATATATCCGAGGCCGTGGTGCATGGGCTTGGTTGGGATGCGTGTGACGTTGGCAAGGAATTAGTTTCCCTTCTCACCCCCTCGTTATGGTGGTGTCTGGTTTGCAAGGGGGCGACTACATCGCAGCCCTGCTCTTCTGTACACACACCTAGGCGAGAACATTTCAGGCCCCCCATCCCATTTCTTTCTGGCTAAAACTCATCATCTCATCTGCAATATGTACTGCAACTGTCCGTTCATCAAATGAGCGTTCATCTATTTGCATCAATAAAATGTCACGAATCCCATCTTAAAATACACACATCTATGCGTTGTGTGCAACGAACGTAATGTTTTACTTAGTTATTCCTCGGCCTTTTTCTCTATTCTGTTCGTTCCTCCTCTAAGCTACTTCTTCTTCTTCGACGTCTCTCTTTTCTCTTCCTCTCGCTTCTTCCTCCTGTGCTCGCTCGAGCACGTCTACCTTATTTTTGGAATCGTTCTTCGAATAGCTTCGCATATTTCGAAGTTCAATTGAACCTATGTAAATACGATAATGCACACTCCAGATCACGTTAGAACCGTCGCTGATCAAAATGTATGTTTCTATAAGTATTTATAATGATGACATACGGGTTCTAAAATAAGCCCCCAAAATACTATGACGCACGGCGCTCTCTCCTCGCGGACCTCTCATTCATGATTAGGAAGGGCCACCTACGAATACGACATGTGTTCAATCGGCTTTCCTCTGAAACTATTGATTGTTGCTCGTTATCTACAAATTTTTGGTTCCCACATGCGATATTCAACGTAGCTACATATACACACAAAATAGCCGAAAACAATCAATAGTCATTTGCATGTACACAACCAACTTTTTGATAAAGCCTTAAATTTGTTTTGGCTAGGCAGTTTCCATTAAAAACATTTTTATAAATTGTTTCAAAACTTTACAACTGCTTCTTATCTAAATAATCTGAAAATATTTGAAAAATTAATCATCTTTTTTATTCTATTAATACGAATCATATAAAAACAATATACTATTATTTCAGTACATTTAAATATTTAAAATCTAAGACACAGAAGTACTCTATCCATAAGAGAAAGATTTTAGTTAAAGTTCAACAATAAAACGCTGATGCTTAAAAGACATTTCATTAAATTCAGACTTTAGGGCGTTGTTAAATGATGTCTGCACCATCCACTCTGGTATTGCGTAATTGTAGTTGAAGAAATAATGAATTGATTTGCAGATGGAATTTATTACGAGAACTTTTTAAATCTGCAATCGAGTACCGCAGTCGACGATCAATGCTTGGTCCGGCCAGGGTTGAAATTGATAGGTTTATTATCGGTTTTATGTTTGGAAATATTATGAATCGAATAAAAGAAGAACAATTTATTGATATGATATGATAGCAATACTTTACTGCTTGATATTATGTACTAATTACTTTAGAGACAGCTGAAAATGTTGAAACTAAAATGTTGAAGAATGTTCGTGGTGTTTATTGGTGCATTTAATTGATCAATTATACAATTTTTGTTTGGAGGAAGAGGAAAAAATATATCTGTAAGAAATATGGACCGGATTTCGGAAATTATGTGCCGCCCGTAAACGTTTCTTAATTAAGACTGTCCTTAGGTATCGCCTGAAATATTAATTCGCGTTAATTAATGTTAATAACTGTAATTCCACGTTGATTTGAAGAGTCTTCGGGCATTGCGTTGCAACGCACAGTAATTGTTACGCTGTCCATTTCAATTGTTACGAAAGGAAACTTTAATTGGTGAGGTTGATACACTCCGAAAGTGATTCACGTCGCCTAGGAGAGCGCATGTATCATCAACATCATCATGATATATCCGCAAAATGTAATGAGGCGTGTGGGCGGCGCTCAAAAGCCTAGGCCAAAATTTCGTCGTGCGTACGTAACGTTTCCCATCCAAGGCCGTTCGCTTTTTGCCAAATACGAAAATATCCGCAGTGCGAGTCGCATACCCCGAAAACAAGCTCTAATTAATTAATTTTAGAACCTGGCATTGTTTGTCGACTACGGAGAGCATTATTACTATTTCGCTCTCGGATCACAGGACGGGAGAGTGGATTTGAATCGGATCGATCCTGAGCTTGTTCTATTTATAAATTGCGGCGCATTCCATTTAAACTTGGAATACAATTTTCCTCTCTTTCCTTTCCATCCACAATGCGTCTCGACGCCATCTCCGTCTCTCAATCCGCCTTTAATTAATTAGCAGCAAATGGAATGGATGTAAAAAAACAAGAAATATTGCACAAAGTTAAACCAAAAAAAAACAGACAGAAGATGGAATTCGAAAGCATAAGCTTTGTAGTAAGCACCTTAGAATGTGTATCGCTTCCATATAATTAGAGATACAGGAAACAATCAATTAATATTAGTCGCTGGAGCAGTTTTGGAAGCGATCCGGGCAACTTTCGCAAGTGGAAAATTTTCCACAAGTGTCATCATCGACCAACGCATTTATAATTTTTTTTTTTATGTTGTTGCTGCTTTTGTTAATGTTTATTTCCGCAGGTGAAATTGTTTTAGTTTCGGGTGAAAGTTTCGCGTATGTGCGATATGTGTCCACCTGTGCAACATTCGTCATCGCTGCTTATTATTTATTTAGTCCATATTTTGTTATTCAAATTACCTCCACCGTTAAAATAGTGAATCATTTTCTATTTCTTATTTTGTTGTCCACTTATCTTAATTATGCGGAAACATCGGGCTTTCCACAGATGACTCTATTTCTGTGCGCCGCGGATTCCTCCTGCTTGCCGCAGAGGATGTCATTTTAGGAATCCAATTGATTAAGCTCGTGTTGCCAGCCCATAGGTAGTTATTTTCGCGTTTACAATTTAATCAGCGCTGCTGGAATTTGCGTTCTGCCACCTTCGCTATTCCAAGGATACACTGAACAAAGTAACAATCATTTACGAATAAATCCACACAGTAAATACAGATTACTAAAAAAATAGTTTTTGAGGGCTAAACGTGTTATACTAAGGTTTTGAATATATGTAGTTTCAAGGTTTTTGCGGGTGGAACTGGGTTTCAATTGGATTGAATGGTAGTTAAAGGTATTAAAGATGGAGATAGATACATGAGTATATCAATGGTGACAACCAAGTGCGTAATGCGTTCTGATTGGAAGCTTGAGATTGTGCACGATCCATCTTGGATGTCACGTACATCATCAAATTGAACAATCACAAGTGACCAATTTCAATTTAACCATCAATTGAAGCCGTTACAAGCGATGCAAGTACCTACGTTTGCAGTCATTCGTTTTCTTACCACCTAAATTTTACGTTTCAAACTCGAACGATCAGACAGATTGGAGGCATCCATATGCATGTAACCGTAATCGTTCTCATTGTTTATGAATACGGAGCGTATACCACTTGCCGTTCTAAATTTGATGGAATAAATAACAACTGTCTAATTAACGCCTATTTTGTATATACATATATATTTGTGTACACTCGTTTAGTGTGCTGTGCGGTTTTATTCTCTAATTTGTTCCTCCTCTCTTTGCTGCGTTCATTTTTTTTTTGGCAATTCAAATTAGCCTGCTTATATAACGGTGCCTTTTACAATTGCTCTATTTACACACCCGAGGAAAAATACCGATCGCTTATGAAACCTCAAAAATTCTTTCCACTTCCGACGAAAGAGAGGGGCAATTAGAAATCGTGTTTACCTTTTTTTTTTGGTCTTCTCCTGCCTTTGTTTGATCTGCCCCCCCTGTGAGTCAAGTGCAATTGTCCAAATGCATGACTTATGATTTATTGTTACTGTTTTCGTTGTTACTCTCGACGAAGGTCAAAAACCAACGAGTTTTACACAATGGAAACTGGACATTTCCAGGAGGAAAGGCGAAATTAAGCGTTATTTATGATGTCCCGACAAAAGCCCACACGATAAAAGTTGAGACAGATCCCGAGCGATAATCGTTTCGCCATACAAAATTTTTCGGTCCTCGTCAAAACCGAAGGTTGTTCTGGCTGTATGCGACTCCTCTGCGTGATGAAATGCTTAAACCAGTTGATATTCGCCTGAGTCTTGATCCCAAGACAGGACCAGACATAGAGAATTGCGTAAGACGTTTCAATTCGGTTTTTGAAAATAATGTGAGGAGAAGAAGAAAGAGCAAAAATAAAAGATTTCTAAATTAATCCATTAGTTATTTATTGTTATTAAAGCGGTGGAAAGTTCTGAATAATTTTGTTAGGGTCTAATGATCATCACTTCAATTTTTATGATTTCTAATTTCGCTTTTATTTTTCTTCGATTCCACGCGTTTGCTTTTTTTTTTTGTTGTTACTTTATTTCTACTTCTCTCTGTTTTGAGCGTAAGTCTGATCTTTGGGTTTTTCCATTGGAATTTCTAAACGCGGCAATTAACCTCGCGTGATCGAATAATCTTATAACTGCTACACTTTTAAGTATTTGATGTCGACTTTGCCTTTTCTTTGCTTCTTTAGTATTAAATTATGTTTCCTTAGATAGTTATTGTATTTAATACTTTTTTTTTCTTCAAAAATTGTAATAGACTTAAAAGATACAGACATAAAAAAAATCTAAACAATAATTAGTACTCTTTGGATTTGGAACGTGCCAATTCAGTAACTGTTTAATTAATTCATGTTTTCATTATTTTTTTTTTTAGAAATCTTAATTAGACACGCAATTAGAAATAATCACAGTACATAAGTTTTATGTGTTCGTTTTTGTATTCATCGGAATAATAACATTTTAATTATTTACAATAACTGTTTAGGCTGGTCAAAATCAAGTATTGAAATTTGTACTATAATAATTTTTGCAACTTAATTGTGAAAGTGGAATAACATCTTTAATATTACCTGTTTTTTTAAATACTTTGTATTAGTATTCAAATTTCCTTATAGATATAAGATTTTGAGGACTTGCTGCTAATTGCAATTAGTTAAATTAGTAATGGACAATTACAAATGTTTAGTTTTAAATTTTTAATTCTGATAACAGTAATTCAACGGTTATTAGAATCGAAATTGTAATTTATTCAGCGACATGGTAGTCCATCTCCTTTTATGCTCAAGCAATCACAATACCATCAGAACCGTAAGTTCAAGGACTGGGCTCGACCTAGAATAGTCTGCTTTTTGAATTATGAATTCTTTAGAATCGGTCAGTTCGGAAACAAATCAATGTAATTTACTTTCAACGTACACTATGATAGACAATAATATCATTTATTAAAAAAAAATAATTATATAGTGAGAGCAACAGAAAACTTGTGAATTTTGTTATAAATTCTTTTGTTTTTTGATTTATTCTAGTGATTTCGAAACGGAAATAAAATATTACACACAAAAATTGGAATTACCTTTACATAGGTAATATAAGCTTATCAAAATTATGATTAATTTTTTAATAATCGTTGGATCAAATGTTCAAACGATAATTGTAACATGTATTGCGTTTGATTACATTATCTTATCTAAATTTGTTTGTTAATCCTTTTAAAAGTAATTTAGTAATACTGAATTTTATTAATCCGTATTTTAAATAAGATTTTTTTTATAGTAATTAAAAGATTGGTTTAATTAGTTGTTTAATAGACTTGTTGATGCTTGGAGGATATTACGTTTTAATGGAATCCAATTGAGGTTCTCAATTAGAAATGATTAACAATTGAGATTGAACAAGTTCTGCGTTTCGGTTGTTTTGTTGCAAGCTGTGAATCATCTATATAATATTTGGATTTGCGTAAACTCAAAGCATGTTGCAATGTGAAAAGTCATCAATTTCATGTTGCTAAGAGATAATTGCAGCGACGTTGCATTGCGATGAGTGCAGTTTAGTGGAATTTCGTAAGGCGAGACAAGAGATGGGTGATTAAAGGAGCGGGTCTGGGTAGGCGTATTGTCCGGGTCGGGTCAATTTCTGAGCGCATTAGGATAGGAGGTCGAGCAGGTCATCCAGATGGATGACCAGCGGTGGTTGCGGATGATGATGTTTGATGATGATGATGAATTGCATCAGATCAGATGATCTGACGGTTCTGGACGTGTGTCGGGCATAAAACGGTAGCGTGGCCGTCGTCGGTGTTGACGACGGACGGGCGTGCAGCTCGCGCGCGTTTCGGTCTCAGTTGCGCGGTTCGACCCATCGAAAGCGGTCCGGTTCGTACGTCTAGAGGTGTCTTCGACGATAGATACACAAAGATACACATAGATACACATCGGGGCATGCCTACCTACAATCGTGTAATGACATGACGATAAGTCGAAGAGTCGCGACTACTCCAAGGATCGATTAGAGGAGTTCAAAGATAATATACACGCATCGGGACGAAGCGGACATAAAGAGGAGAGTCTTGTACCGAGAGAGGCGAAAACATAAATAAAAATATATAAAATCCTTATATATAAAAAGGAAAGAAACAGAACGAGTAACGGGCCCCGTGCGCTGTTTGAACTTTGAGGTTCCTGATATGTTTTATTTATATCCCGTTTGAACTGCGGCCAAAGTGGACACATCGGAACCAAATTGACGGATAAAGGATATATCGAAAACAACAAATAACAAAACCAGCAGACAACAACAACAAAACATTAACACACACATCATACAGACACACATCTATTCGTGGTGGTTTGATCTTCCGGTACAACTGTAGTATTTTTGATTTCTTGTAAGAAATGCTTACGATGACCGACCACATGTTCCTGATTCCTGAAAGGGCGCTCAAGATGGACATATCGCGGCTGCAGGAAGACCTCGCGGGCCTCGACTTCGATGCGCGCCTCCTGCAGGTCGCCCCGATGGGAAACGTCTGGATCTGTAAGCCATTTGTAACCATTTTGACCCATGCATCATCATTCATATACAGCAATAAGCTGTACACAGTGTGACCTCAACCTTTAGCGAGTGCGCGAACGGCCCTTTCACCCACCACCCGCTAATTGCAAAATCAATCGGAATCGACGACGCCTATTCACTTATCATCATCATCATCATCGTTGATTTACATTCGGGTGAATCGGTTTTCATTGTCGGCTACGTAACAAATCAATGGGCACGTATGGTTGAAATGAAAGTTACTCGCCTCCCAAATACAAATACTACACCATCGCAATTCGTTCGTTTTATTTTGTCATATTCATTAATTTATTTCTGTTTTGTCAAAAAATTAGGATTAATCAATTATCTACGAAAAAGAAAATAAGCGACACAAGTAGGAAAAATAAAAACCGCCGAAACTTTCTCTCCCATGTTACACATTCCGCCAGCTCCTTCATTTTTTTTTTATTTCTCTTCACCTCGACAGATTGCTTATGAAGCCGTAGTTGCTTGTCCATTTTTTTTTTGTTCGTTTCTTTCGTCGTTGTCGTAGTAGTATTTAATTCCAAGCGATTCGCGGATGTTTCGTAATCGGTCTTTTGCATAACCGCTCTCTCCCTCCGACTCCGTCTTTCACCATCCATTTGTTTTAGTGGTATAAACCTTATTTATTATCAATGCAGCAAACGCACCTTATTTGATAAGGACTGCTCGAGTGGTTTTCTCCTACCTCCTGTTGCTCACCGTGGGTGCGGCGAAATTGTCCAAGTCTTTCTCTCTCAATTTATATATATATATATATATTATTGTTATTACAATTCACTCCATTCAATTCCAATTGAAGTCAGCATATTCAATCCGTAAGGCTTACCCTTTCAAATGTCACGACGACATCCGAGATTACACAATTGGAATAATATCTTTACATTACAATTGCTTCCATTCAATTCCAATTGAATTCCCTCGATGCGATCGATAAGGCTTTACTCTTTACAAATCCGACATGTTATTATTGTATACCATTGCACCGAATCAATTTCCTTTTTGTTGATGCAACAAATTTTCTCGAAACCAATTTTCTTGCAATACGACTCCTCAAAGCACGTCAAAGTTTATAAAGCATTTTTTTATGATGATCATAATAACAGTTGTACGTGATTAAAAACAGTTACACAATTTGCAAATTATAGTTACTAAAATTAGTTACACTAAGAATGGTGTCTTCAACTATTTACATTTCAATTACAGCAAATTGAAGCTAACCATTTTTTGTGCTTATAGATTCATTTGCGAGTTTAAATATTTTGTTGAAATGTGTCATTTCACAATGTCCATGTATAACAATTGTGTTTTTTGTTATTTGTTAACGTGTCGAAACCGCAAAGTCATTTGATTCATATTATTAATATTGTTCAATTGTGAATGGTTTGCAGTTGAATTTCGTGACCCACCTGTGGGGCACAAAATGAGTCTTAATGGAAAGAAACGATCTGCCAGATCACAAGATTTCACAACATCTTCTTCCAAGCGCCGTTGGCATTTTGTTTTTGATTCGCGGGAGTCATTTAAAATCAAATTACCCTTTTATCCAACGAATATGTATTTATTTAAAAAAAAATGGAGCGTGCTGGTGTTGTAAATTTCAAGGTATAATTTTTGTTGTTTCTTTTTAGTTTGTACAATCTTATCTCGTTGCTATAAGCATCCGACGTTATCACGTAACAACACCAGCATTTCGTTTACGCATTCGTTGCAAATATTTCGTGCTTCATTATTAATATTAACCGATAATTACTTATGGTTTATTGCCCATTGAAATTTAGTTTCTTTGGAGAAATTCTGTGGAAAATCCTTCTTCGTTTATTGTATTTGGCTTTAGAAATTCAACTGTCCATGTATATGAATGAAATTTGTTAATCTTTAAGTAGAGAAACTCTAATACTTCTTAGCATTGTACTCTATGTTAAAAATTTTACTTATCAGAGAAAACGGTAATAAGTATTTAAACATTTTCAAGGTGAAATCAATTAAAACGTGTTTTTTGGTTGAAATATTTTGATCATTTGCGCATTAGCCAATAGTTTCAAAGTACACTCGTGGATTATTCCAAACAATTTATTTAAAATCAACTATAAAATTTATTTGTGTGAGTATAAAAATCATATCGTTTCAAGGCGAAATGAGGTCTGCAGTTAAGAATGCTAATTGCAATTATGCTACAAATGAGGAAATAAGAATTGAAGCTTACAACAAAAAAAAAATGTGCGCTGTGCTGAGTAAATTGAAGGAAGTGAAAAAAACGTACACTCCTTGTTATGGACGGATTAAGTGCAATTAAGGATTGAACGTTGTCTGCTTGTAACTGAGATCGTGCAAACAAATAGCGTATTTAGCAGTATATGTGTTGTTACTAACTAACTACTATACATAGTACTAATACCAATGTATATGTTACTAACTGTTTTCTAAGAAACGAATCATTCAGAATTACTGGTACAATATATGATTTCCTGTACATGTTATTGATTACACTGTACTTTTAGGTCCGGTTTATCCATGTATCCTATCTCGTGGTAAAGCCATAAGGAATGATGGATTTAAAAAGGGGCTGTGGCGAGGAGGAAGAAATTTGTAATCGCGAGAGTCCAAGAAGGTTGAGTCTTCGAGTGCTGTGATACTACTGTGCGAAGGTTGGAAAAGTTTGAATAGATAAAAAGAAGTGCGTGTTAGAAGAAAACGAGCAAAAAAAGAAATATGTTTCTATATTATTAGAATAAGCGTTTATGTAATATTTAAAATGTTTGTAAACTTTTTTCAACTTTGTAAATCTGATATTAAAATTTACGGAAATTGATAATATTGATGATAATATAATAATTGTTAAGATTTCTCTCATCAATCTGGCAATTAAAAGCGCACTTTCATGCTTATTTATTATTATTATTTTTTCGTGTGTCGTTTCATGCTGATAAATTGGAATCGCTCGGTGGTTTCTTTATTTTCTCCCGAAGCTATTATTTCATTTCTTTCCATTTCGTTTCTGCGCTCGTGAAATTAGTAATTAAGATGGGCAATAACGAAGACTATTGTGTTCGAATTAAAAGCACTAAAACGGTCGGTGCTTTCTTTTCTTGGAGTGCATCAGCAGCAGCAGTAAAAGGAGGAGGATAAGAAAGAGGTACTACACAGCTACAGGATTGTTCATTTAATTGGGTATTCAATGTATTAGGAGGGCAATTAAAATATGAAAATATAGCTCGAATGAATTTCGAACGCAATTAAGAAGCACGAGCCGTTTTATATAAACAAACTGCTCGATTTTCTCTACCGTGTGTTCCGCATTGCTGCAGATTGTGTTCGATAAGTTCTGCAATAATCATCATTGTCGTTCCTTCTGTTTCCCAACACTGTTTATAGCTATCACAATTGTTCATAGCCTGTCTCCGGTTTTTCGTGTTTGCAGGCAATTTTTGTATGTGTGTGTGTGCTCGAAAAAAAAAACCTTGTTCTAATGCTATTATTGCGGTTACCGAGTTTCCCGTTACACTTCGCGAATTACAAACGAATTTCATCCATCGACTCGACGTATTTCAATCTTAATAACCATCTTGACATTAATTATAATCATAGCTGCAAATAGCAGATTTCAATAATAATAATAATATATACGAAAAGCGCAGTCAGGATGAAAAGAAGAAGAAGAAGAAAAAACTAATGAAATAAGGAACGAGAACGGTAATTGGATTAAATATTCCTATATACGATTATAACGAGTAGTCGTTTTGAACAAGCAAGAGGTGATTCCAATTACTTCTGTCTTTTCATCGCCGCTCCAACCAAAGTTACAATCCTTTCATTTCCTTACATCACACATCTAAAACATGGTTTTGATTTGATCCAAGAATAAAAATCTTCATTAATTACTATAATTAAGTTTCAATAATTGCAGTCAAGGTCAACAATTGAAGTTATTGTGCAAGACTGGTTACCTATAGACGCTATAAATCAATTAACGTGAAATTTACAGAATTTTGAAAACATTATTACAGCAAAATGTTGTTAAATTCAACCTTATCTACTGCATCGATTTGTTTTTCCTCGTAACCACAGTTGGGTAATTATTACGCGATCAACGTAACAACAAAAACAACCGGCAATCAATCGATAACGACTTTATCGATTGGTGTATTTATTTGTTTTGAACTTGAATCGATGCGCCTGCTGCATGAAATAATAAATGAAGCTTTGTATCGGATTAGTTCGATTGAAAAAATACAGTATAGTTTCGAAGAGAGAAAGGATGAAATTAAAAAAAAAATAAGTTATACAACGAATATCCAATTAAAAACCAATCAACTAGCGCGCGCGTTAACAATTACGTAATGCATCTGTGTATGAAACTAGCGTTAGCTTGTAAAAAAAAATATAAAAAATAATATATATAGAAACGGACGAGCGCATTCGTAGCGAACGCGGAATGCAGATGCGATGCTTTATAATATAATAATGAAGAATTCAATAGCGCAACAAAAAAAATACAAATTCATTACGTATTTTTGCTATTGCTTTCGAAATTTTGTTCTGCATTTTATTCGACCTCTGGACATTAAAACGAGTAAACACATTTGTAATGATCATTATAATTACAATCGTTTGTAGAAAAAAAATGATAATAATAATATTAAAACGCGGTGTGTAATTAGTACTGCTGTGTATATATATATATTTTTTTATTACTGTTATTATATGGAAATGTGAACTAGATCTTTGATTACTTTGTCGATTAGTATTCAGAATAATAACCATCTTTATTGAGTTACTTAGGGCTATCGACCTGCATTAGTATTCCGATCCTAGTCCTGAGAGAAGAAATAAACGGTCTTTCGAACCATTCATAGTTCTTAATGATCAGAGGCATTTTGTAATCATTAAATGTTACGTAAATGGTAACAATATTATTGCAATAATTATAGATAATAGAAGTGTGAAAATAAATTAAG